AGTCTCCTTTAGGCCAGTAAATCTGGTCTTTTTTTTTGTGAGTTAGAATTATGCTCTACATCCTTCTCCAGCTCTGTCCAGAACCCTCTGTTGTGATTCTGGTCAGAGCAGGGTGATGAAGACATTTTGGAAACGAATCGTGGTGATGGTTCACAACATTGTGAAAGTCGTTAATGCCACTGGATTGTACCCTTGAAAATGGTTAAAATGGCAAATTTTATGTAGTGTATATTTTACATCAGTAAAATAACAGCAAGCAAACAAAACAAGAGCAATTCCCACCCAGAGTCACCGAGGGCGAAAGGGAAGCATAAAAAGGCCTCTCTGCTTGCGGACGGGGACAGGAGTGCCACATCCCACCACTTACTCTCATCGTCACCTGGGATAGGGTATCTGAAAGTTCTCTGCCATCCCATGGGCCCATGGTGCCCTTGGTGGAACTGGCCCCACCTCGACTGGGAACATGACAGGGTTGGCCTGGCTGGTGGTGAGACCCAGACCTGAGAGCAAGGACACGTGGACACCTGGCCCAGTTCTGCCACAGATTGGCAGTGTGCCTTGGGCAAGTCCATCCTCCTTTCTGCTCCTGCTCCAGGATTCTGATTTGGCAGTGCCTGGGAGAGGGTTCATCACTTGAAGCAGGGTCAAATTCCAGTTGCAGTGTGACTCTGGGCAAGTCACTTAACCTCTCTGATCCTCCAGAGTCAATAATAGCAATGCAATGTGGTACATCATATTTTCAAAGCACTTCTGCTTGAGGTGGTTTAGGCTGGTGTTATGTCCCCAGTTTTTCAGAGGAGGAAGCTGAGGCATAGAGAGGTGTAAGTGACCAGCCCAAAGACACACAGCGTTCAGAGGTGGGGCTGAACTAGAGCCCAAAGTCCCCACTTGCACCATTAGGCCTTCCTGTGAATCCTAGCCTTTTCCACTCCCAGACGGGGAATTGAGTTTCCCATGGAGCCCAGCTGTCTCAGGGGAAACTCTCTCTCTCTCTCTCTCTCTCTCATTTCCAGATGTACCATTGAGGACTCAGCCACCTACACCGTGATGGTGAAGAACGCCTATGGCCAGGCCTCTTCTTTCGCCAAAGTCCTCATCCGCAGTAAGTCTTCCCGCCCCTACCAGGCCAGGCCAGAGCAAACCCAGGATGAGCAGATGAGGACATGGGTCTACGGTTAGACTCTAGGAAAGGCCCTCGGCACCGAGGGGTGTTTGGCCCGAGGTAGACTCACTTCCTTGGAGGTCTTTGGAGTACGTGAGCAAGAGTCTCCTCCCTCAGACAGGTGTGGCCAGCCAGCAACAGCTTTGTGGGCTGATGGTGGACGGCATGGGAGAGACAGAATCATCTTCCCCTGTGGGTTGGTGTCAAGAGAAGGAGAGGGAAAGGGAACTGACAATTTCCGAGTTCTCTTGATAACATCTCATCTTATTTCATCCCAAGCTAGCAGGAGGGTAAGGCTGGGACTTGCACTCACCTCTGTCTGCAGGGTGACCATTAGCATGGACGGCAACTTTGTGTGGACTCAGTGGATAACTTAGAAATAGGGGTCCTTCCCTCCAGGCAGATGTAGGCCCCATCCCAGGTTACACAGCTTGGCAAGTGGAAAACAGACCGGATACCAGCCCTCACTTGTCCTACCGGTGAATACGTTTGTGCAGTGCACAACCTGCACCACTGTTCAGAGTGACCCTACTTGCGTGTCCCCTGCTCTTATCATCAGGTGGAGGCTGTGCCCAGATCCAGCTCACAGCCTCTGGAGAGTGGTCTGGCCCTGCCAGCCCTGCCGAAGGGGGGACAAGGACAGAGCCCTAGCAACTCCCACCCCATCCCCACTGCCTCATTTACATTCTGTTACATTGTGAGCATCTGAAATCAGAGCACAAAGCAGGGGAGAAGCTCAGGAGTCAAACAGGTCCAAGTTCGGACGAGCTGTGTGATCCTGGGCAAGCCACTTCACTCTCAGAGCCTCCATTTCTTCATCTGTAAAAGGAGCATCCTATACCTCTCTCGGATGCTCGTGTTGATTAAATGAGATGATATAGATAAAGCTAACGTGTGGTAGGCTCTTGTTGTTGTTGTTGTTGGGTGCTGTCAGGTCGATTCCGACTCATAGTGACCCTATGTACAACAGAATGAAACACTGCCCAGTCCTGTGCCTTTGCTGTTTGAGCCCAATGTTGCAGCTATGGTGTCAAACCATCTCATTGAGGGTCTTCCTCTTTTTCACTGCCCCTCTACTTTACCAAGCGTGACTGTCCTTCTCCAGGGACTGGCCCCTCTGGATAACATATACAAAGTACATGAAATGAAGTCTCGCCATCCTCACTTCTAAGGAGCATTCTGGCTCTACTTCCGAGACAGACTTGTTCATTCTTTTGGCAGTCCATGGTATATTCAGTATTCTTCGTCAACCCCGTAATTCAAAGGCATCAATTCTTTGGTCTTCCTTATTCATTGTGCAGCTTTCCCATGCATATGAGGAGATTGAAAATACTATGGCTTGGATCAAGCACACTTTAATCCTCAAATGACGTCTTTGCTTTTTAACACTTTAAGGAGGTCTTTTGCAGGAGATTTGCCCAATGCAATATGTTGTTGATTTCTTGACTACTGCTTCCCTGGGAACTGATCGTGGATCCAAGTAAAACGAAATCCTTGACAACTTCAATCTTTTCTCTGTTTATCATGATGTTGCTTATTGGTCCAATTGTGAGGATTTTTCTTTTCTTTATGTCGAGATGTAATCCATACTGAAGGCTGTAGTCTTTGATCTTAATCAGTAAGCATTTCAAGTCCTCTTGCCTTTCAGCAAGCAAGCTTGCGTCGTCTGCATATTTTCAGGCTGTTAATTTCTTCCTCTAGTCCTGGTGCCACGTTGTTATTCTTATAGTCCAGCTTCTCAAATTATTCGCTCAGCATACAGATTGAATAAGTATGGTGAAAAGATACAACCATGATGCACACGTTTCCTGATTTTAAACCACACAGTATCCCCTTGTTCCTGTTAGAACAACTGCCTCGTGGTCTGTGTACAGGTTCCACGTGAGCAAAATTAAGTTTTCTGGAATTCCCATTCTTTGCAATGTTATCCGTAATTTGTTATGGTCCACACAGTCGAATGCCTTTGCATAGTCAATAAAACACAGGTAAACATCTTTCTGGTATTCTCTGCTTTCAGCCAAAATCCATCTGACATCAGCAATGATATCCCTGGTTCCAAGTCCTCTTCTGAATCTGGCTTGAATTTCTGGCAGTTCCCTGTCCATATACTACTGCAGCCGCCTTTGAATGATCTTCAGCAAAATTTTGTGTGTGATATTAATGATGTTATTCGATAATTTCTGCATTCGATTGGATCACCTTTCTTGGGAATAGGTGTCTCTTCCAGTTGGTTGACCAGGTAGCTGTCTTCCAAATTTCTTGGCATAGACAAGTGAGCACTTGCAGTGTTGCATTTGTTTGTTGAAACATCTCAATTGGTTTTCCATCAGTTCCTGGAGACTTGGTTTTTGCCAATGCCTTCAGTGCAGCTTGGCCTTCTTCCCTCAGTACCATCGGTTCTTGATCATATGCTACCTCCTGAAATGGTTGAGCGTCGCCCAATTCTTTTTGGCACAGTGACTCTGTGATTCCTTCCATCTGCTTTTTTTTTTTTTTGTTTCTTTGCATGTGCAGTATGTGTACATCCACATGCATGTATGGGGGTGTGTGTGTGTGATCTTCTCCCACGGGCCATGGGATCTGTGATGCAGGGCCTCTTTCAGATTTCCCTCTCATACCCTCTGCCTAGCATCATATATGGTACATGGTAGGTTTTCAAGGAAAGCTTGTTTGTGGGTGAGCAGCGGACCTGATGCAAACTAAAATCATGACTGGCTCAACTTTGCCAGCTACAGGTCTTTATAAGAATCACGCTGCATCAGTGAAGGCAACCAAAAGGTAGACAGCACATTGGATTGAACCTTCTTTTTCCTTTCTCAAGCATTTACACCTGTGCCTCTCCTTCAACATGGATAGATGTTTCTCTCAGAGGCCAGATCTATTTGATTCCTGCCTCAGCCACTGACGTTTGGAGGATGAGGGATACCCTAGACTGGCCTGGTGTTTACTGGCCAGTTTTCATGGTGCTGGAGGTGAGGAGGTAAACACAAAGGGGAGGTCCCAACTCTCATGGAGCTGGAGATCCAACGGGGAGACAGAGAATGAACAAGAGAACAGGTGAACTACGTGATGATTTCAGAGGGTCACATAGGTCATGAAGCCAAGGTGGTAGGTGCGGTGACTGAGTACTACAGGCAGGCTTCCGGGAAGGTCAGAGGAGAACTGAAGCCAAGAGGTAGGAAGGAGCCAGTGCTCAGAAATCTACAGGCAGCATGTTCTGGACAGAAGGAACACTACGTACAGAGGCCCTGAGGCAGCACCACAGAGCTGGCTTTGTTGGAGGAAGGAAACACAGCCAGTGAGGGTGGGTGAGCCAATGGGCATGGGGCGGTGGAGACAAGCCAGAGGTGGTGGCCAACCCTTCCATCTTCTTTTGATGCTTCCTGCATCATTTAATATTTGCCCAAAGAATCCTTCAATATTGCAACTCGAGGCTTGAATTTTTTCTTCACTTCTTTCAGCTTGAGAAATGCCAAGTGTGTTCTTCCGTTTTGGTTTTCTAACTCCTGGTCTTTGCACACTTTATTATAATACGTCACTCTGTCTTCTCTAGCTGTCTTTTGAAATCTTTTGTTCAACTCTTTTACGTTATCATCTCTTCCGTTCGCTTTCGCTACTCTGTGTTCAAGCACAAGTTTCAGAGTCTCTTCTGACATCCATTTTGGTCTTTTCTTTCTTTCCTGTCTTTTTAATGACTTTTCGTTTTCTTCATGTATGATGTCCTTGATGTCACTCCGCAGCTTGCGTAGTCTGTGGTCATTAGTGTTCAATGCATCAAATCTATTCCTGAGATGGTCTCTAAATTCGGGTGGTATATACGCCAGGTCAAGAGAAGCATTGCATTGGGCAAATCTGCTGCAAAAGGCCTCTTTAAAGTGTTAAAAAGCGAAGATGTCACCTCGAAGACTAAGGTATGCCTGACCCAAGCCACGGTGTTTTCAATTGCCTCATATGCATGTGAAAGCTGGACAATGAATAAGGAAGACCGAAGAAGAATTGACACCTTTGAATTGCGGTGTTGGTGAAGAATATTGAATATACCATGGACTGCCAAAAGAACAAACACATCTGTCTTGGAAGAAGTACAACCAGAATGCTCCTTAGAAGCAAAGATGGTGAGACTACATCTCACATACTTTGGACATATTATCAGGAGGGATCAGTCCCTGGAGAAGGACATCATGCTTGGTAAATTAGAGGGTCTGTGAAAAAGAGGAAGACTCTCAACAAAATGGATTGACACAGTGACTGCAACAATGGACTCAAGCATAACGATTGTGAGGATGGCACAGGACTGGACAGTTTTTCGTTCTGTTGTACCTGGGGCCACTATGAGTTGGAACCGACTCGACAGCACCTAAAACAACAACAACAACATACTCCAGGTCATACTTCGGCTCTCATGGACTTGTTTTTTACTTCAGCTTCAATTTGAACTTGCATATGAGCAGTTGATGGTGTATTCCACAATTGGCTCCTGGCCTTGTTCTGACTTATGATATTGAGCTTCTCCATCATCTCTTTCCAAAGATTTAGTCAATCTGATTCCTGTGTATTCCATCCGGAGAGGTCCACATGTATAATCTCCATTTGTGTTGTCAGAAGAAAAGGAATTTCCAACGAATAGGTCATTGGTATGTGATCTCTGGCATCATTTCTATCACCAAGGCCATATTTTCCAACTACAGATCCTTTTTCTTTGTTTCCAACTTTCACATTTCAATCCCCAGTAATTGTCCACACATCTTGATTGCATGTTTGATCAATTTCAGACTGCAGAAGTTGGTAAAAATCTTCAATTTCTTCATACTTCGCATTAGTGGTTGGTGCGTAAATTTGATTAATGGTTGCATTAACGGTACTTCCTTATAGGCATATGGATATTACCCATCACTGATAGTGTTGTACTTCAGGATAGATCTTGAAATATTCTTTTTGACAATAAATGCGACCCCATTCCTCTTCAATTTGCCATTCCCAACATAGTAGGCCATATGCCTGTCCTATTCAAAATGACCAATATCAGTCCATTTCAGCTCACTAGTGCCTAGGGTATTGATCTTTATTCATTCTATTTCATTTTTTGATGACTTCCAATTTTCCTAGATTCATACTTCATACATTCCACATTACAATTTTTAATGGATGTTTGCAGTTGTTTCTTCTCATTTTGAACTGTGCCACATCAGCAAATGAAGGTCCTGAAAGCTTTACTCCATCCACATCATTAAATTGACTCTACTTTGAGGAGACAACTCTTCCCCAGTTGTATTTTGAATGTCTTCCAACCTGAGAGGCTCATCTTCTGGCACTATATCTAACAATGTCCCACTGCTATGCATAAGGTTTTCACTGGCCAGTTTTTTTAGAAGTAGATTGCCAGGTCCTTCTTCCTAGTCCGTTTTAGTCTGGAAGCTCCACTGAAACCTGTCCACCAAGGGTGACCCTGCTGTTATTTGAAATATCAGTGGCATAGCTTCCAGCATCACAGCAACACTCAAGGCACCACAGTATGACAGACTGACAGACAAGTGGTGGTGGCTTTTGGGAAAGAATAATCCCTCCCCCTCTCTACAACCAGGGTGGAACACTTCCCAGGAGGCCACAACCAGATAGCACCGCTGATTCCAGGAGAAGGATGTACCTTGCTCTTAACCTGGAAAAGGACAGAGCCTACCCCAAGACTTAGAGAGGAGAAACCCCCAAAGAGTTCACTCAAAGGGTGAATGCTACACCCTTTGGTGAGCATTCACAGACACACTGTGGCTCCCCAGGCAGCTGTCCCATCCCACTCTCCCTGCCTCTCATCAGACCTTGTTAAACTGTCCTTCACAGTCCTCTCCACCCCCCTGCCCTGTGCCCCAAATAGCTTGGGAGGCAGCCTGGCCAGGACAGGCTCTCAGTGTGGAAATTTGAGCTGTCCCGTAGACTGAACCCAGAATCAAGCCAAAGGTCAGGCATCTGCCCTGCTTCCTCTGTGTACCCATCTTTCCGATCACTCCATACAGATCCCTGTCCCTCCCATCATCAACGCTAGCAACCCCAGGATCTACCAGGCATTTTCTCAGCTCCTAGACTCCAGTCAGCCTCCTGCTGAGAGCACCCACTCACTGCCACTCCCTCCCCTGCTCTCATGTCCATAGCAACTTCAGTAGTCCCAGTGGAAGGCCCTGGGCTGGGAGGCAGAAGTCCTAGGTCCTAATCCTGAGTCTTCCTAGATTCTAATCCTGAGTCCTCTTGAGTTCTAATCTTGTGTCCTCCTAAGTCCTAATCCTGAGTCCTCTTGAGTTCTAATCCTGAGTCCTCCTAGATTCTAATCCTGAGTCCTCCACTGATGCTCTGTGTGACCGTGGGCAGCCTCTGTCCCTCTCTGGGCCTTGCTTATGAAGGTCCTTTCCAGGAAGGCAGCATCATGTCTTGGAATTAGGCTGCTGGGGTGTTAGCTGGGGTGACCATGCCTATTTTCCTCATCTGTAAGCAGGATAACAATGGTACTGACAGACAGGGCCTTGGTGAGGGTCGAATAAGTTAATATGAGGCACATGGTAAGCACTCTGTGCGCAATAGCTGACCTTGCTCTTCCCTGGTGGTCTGTGTCAGTACTGCCATGGATTTCACCTGTAAGCCTCCGAACATTCACTGAGCACTGCTTCCACTCCTGCCAGCTCTCCCTGGTTCCACCGGAAATCCAGGCATCTCCAGGCTTGACCTCTGTGTAAATAGAGTGTGATGTTGGAAGCAAGTTTGGGCAGAGGAAGGAAACCACCATTTATTGAGCACCTACTATGTGTCCAGCTCTTGCTGAAAACTTTTTTCATGTGAACTCATTTAATCATAACCCCACCACCGTCAGGTAGGAATTACTGCCTGCATTTTACTGATGAAGGAACTGAGGCACAGAGAGGTGAAAGAACATTCCCAAAGTCACATGTGAGCCCCCAACAGACTCAAAGCCACACCCAAAGCCTATGTCTCCAAAATCTAGTAGGAATATGGGGTCTGAACCTTCTCCAACTCCATTTGCTTTGGGTTTTCAGCGTACCTGGGAAAGGATGCTGGCTTCGATTCGGAGATCTATAAAAGTAAGGAGACTTTAAGGGGGCTAATACCAGGTGGAGGGTATATCTGGGACTCCTTGTTTACACCTCCTCACAGGCCCTTTTCAGAATACAGCCATCCATGGTCCACTAAATGATGTCCACTTGAGATTGGCATATCAGCTGTTAATACTAGCAAAGTGGCTTCTGGGGGTCCCAAGGCTCCCCAGCTACTGAGCAAAAACTAAGTTGGAAAGGTAAGTCTATGGCCAAACAGGCAATGGACATGATGGCCTGTGGATGTTCACTGTCTTGGCTTATCCAGGCTCCTATGTGGATAAGTCCCTTCTCCCACACCACCCCCAGGACTAGGTCCCTCTTCTCCCTGTCAAACCCATCTTGGGAACTGTGAACTCAGAGGGGTTGGGACACCCCAGGAGGGTCCTCACTCCCATCTATGCCCCAGCCCCGGTGTCTGCTCTGGGCTGACAGCCTCCAAAGGCTCCTGCCCCAAATTCCTGTCCTCACCCCAGGATCAATGTTTGGCCCCAGCGTGGAATTCACATCGGTGCTGAAGCCTGTCTTTGCCCGTGAGAAGGAATCCTTCTCCCTGTCCTGCTTATTTTCGGATGATGTGTTAGACGCCGAGCAGAACATCCAGTGGTTCCGAGACGGTGAGGACCCCCAGTGCTGGCCTCTGCCTTCAGCAACACCTCCCTCTGCAGCCAGATCAGAGCCCGAGAGGCCAGAAGCCAGAGAGGAGCTACAGCCCTGACTCCATCCCCAGCCCTGGGACCCCCAGTGGAGGCAGAGACCCAGTATGCCCCTCCCCCAAACTGAAAACAAACTGTGTTGTGGGTGTTAAAGAGGCAGAAGAAAGCAGGAGCACAGCTAGGTGGGGGTCAGGTCAAGTCACCCTACAAATGGTCACCCAGCACTCTGGAGTGCTGGGGTCGGGGCAGGGTTAGAGACATGAAGGAGACACAGCCCTGCCCTCCAGACACTCTCCACTGGGGAGGAGAGATGAAGCTGGGTTGGAGCTACTGCTCACAGGGTCTGCTGTGGTCAGGCGTTGCTCGGCCCTACTTATGCATCGTCTGTCAGATCCTCCACGACCCAACGGCATTTGAAGAATGAGAACCCAGAGGCACAGGCCAGAAGCAGGGCAGCACCATGGTGCTCAGGGCAGGTTGTGACAAGCACATAGGGCCTTTCAGAGTCTGGGTGTGGGTGGAGGGTGGATGGTAATCACAGTTTCAGGGGCTGCGAGACCCCTCTCTGGGTATGTCATAGGCAAGGCCTGGAGGCCAGTCAGCTGGGGCAGCAAGAGGTGGCCCAGTGTCTGACCAGGCCTGCAGCCAAAGGACAAGGTGTACAGCACCCCACCACCACCCCCACCACCAGCGTCCCCAGCCTTGAGCCTGAGGAGACTGCCCCTGCTGGGGGGGGCGGGGGGGGGGACACGGGGAAGCCATAGGAGCCCTGAGGAACAGCTGCAATGACAACACTGAGATGCTTTCTGAAATCTGTAGATCATCCAGAATAGTGACTGCTGACAGAAGGGCGGGGACTTCATGTGGGACAAAGAGAAGGATGATCCAACAGGGTGGCCTCAGGGCACAGTCTACTCCCTGGACCCCAGAGTACCTTTCTTTATTAAGCCCTCACCTCACTAAGCTTTTTCCCCCATCACTGAGCCCTCACTCCCTTTATTAAGCTCCCACCCCTCACCTACTGAGCCTCCACACCCCTCACTGAGCCCCTACCTCCCTAATGAACCCTCCCCTGCTCACTGAGCCCCCACTATGCTCAGTGAGTCCCACCCCTTTCTTTGAGTCCCCATCCCTCACTAAGTCCCCACTCCCTTCCTGAGTCCCTACTTCTTCACTGAGCCTCATTCCCTTCATTGACCCCCTACTTCTCTACTGAGTCCCTACTCCTTTCATTGAGCCCCCATGCCCTTCTTTGAGCCCCCAACCCCCTCAATGAGCCCCTACCCCTCACTGAGCCCCCACCCCCTCACTGAACCCCACCCCCTTCATTGATTCCCCAAACCCTTTTACTGAACCCTCACCACCTCACCAAGCCCCCACCACCTCACTGAGCCCCAAACCCCTCCCTGGGCCCTGCCCCACTCCCTAAGGTTTCAGCAAGGAGCATTCAGCTGCCACCTCAGCAAAGCCCTGGAGGTCACCACCTCCACCCCAACCCTCAAGCCTAGTGGAGCCTCAAGCTATGGCCGCTCCAGCCCCACCCCCTGTCTAGCCAGGCCTTCAGACTCCTAGAATGTCTACAGGTTCCCAGGTGAGGCCAGGACCCCTGTGAACTCACACTGAACACCTTTCTCTCTGCAGGGAGCCTACTGAGGTCCTCAGGGCGCCGGCAGATCCTCTTCGCAGACCGCCAGGCGTCCGTGAAGGTATCCTGCGCCTACAAGGAGGATGAGGGGCTCTACACAATCCAGGTGCCCTTTGGAGCCCGGGAGCAGAGTGCCTATGTGTTTGTGAGAGGTGAGAGGGGGCTGAGGAGGCAGGATGGGTGGCTGGGAGCCCAGAGACCAGGACTCTGCCCTTGACTGATTACTGTGCGACCTTGGCTAGTCCCCTGCCCTCTTTGGGTCTCAGTTTCCCTGCTATAAAACGGAGATGTTGGGTTAGATTTTCTCTAAGAATCCCTGTGGCATCTTATGACCCTCCAAAAGCACAGAGTGGAGAACCTCAGACTTGGGGTCCTGGGAGACCGGCTGAGCATGTAACTGGGATAGGATTCTGGTCACTGGTAGAGTTCTGCCTCCTGGTCTTTGAACCTGACCTGGGTTGAAATCCTGACTTTGTCACTTCCCTTGTTGGGTGATTTTGGACAAGTCACTTCACCTCTATAAGACTCAACTTCTTCATCTACAAAATGGAGGGTTGCGATGGCGCCCAGAGATTAATAATGCCAGTTCTTTAGGTGCATGGTGTTGAGTGGGCCCAGGGGTGGATTAACCAATAAGCACAGTATGCACCAGCTTGCACTGAGCGAGGTACCCACAGGCTTAATCGTGTTTACTTGCTAATCTGGGGTGAGTGATTTCACATGGGTTTCACCACGTCTTTGACGTGGTGGGCAACGGGTGAAATTGTTAACTGCAGATTGTGGGAAGGCACAATTGGGCCCATGTGTACCTTGCTTATTGGGTAATCTGGCCCTGAGTTGGTCCCTAATAAATGGTAACCCCTCTATGTTGTTATTTAAGGGCAGGGGCTGTTACTCAGGACTTGGTCCTGGAGATCAAAATTGAGCCCCTGGAGGGTTATGGAGGAGAGGATGCTGGGCAGTAGTGGAAAGGGACTTGTTGCCAAGTGGACATTGACTAGAAGAGCCTCTCCTCCCTCTCCTGCCACGCCTGGGTTTCAGATGCTGCAGCCGAGAAGCCAGGGGCCCCAGGCTCCCCACTGAATGTCCGATGCCTGAATGTGAACAGAGACTGCCTCATCCTGACCTGGGCCCCGCCCAGCGACACCCGGGGCAGCCCCATCATTGGCTACTCCATCGAGCGGTCAGTCAGTCTCCTGAGGGGCAGAATCCCAGGGCACAGTTGTGAGGACAAGTACGGGGACCACAGGAAACAGGAGGCTCTGTCCCTGACTTTGGCGAACCCCCAGCTCCTCAGGACAGAGCAAGTTTGGGGACAACAGAAGTGTGTCCATGTCTCCAGATCTGTCACACTGCCACCTGGAATTCCACTGCTGGCATCAGCCATGGCCTCTGGGTTCCTTAACAGTATGAGCTGACCCTGGGGGAGAAATATTAATGAGTGCCTGCAACCTGAGCCCATGTGAACTTAGTGGCTTTTTTCCTCCCTGAATGACAGGGTCCTAATCTCGGGGGGCAGAGTGCCACACTGGAAAGGGGAGAAAGGGGAGAGGGAGGGATGGAACATCCTGCCACCTTCCCATGCTTCCAGCTCTGAAGTCTGAGCTTGAAACAATACCTAACTCTGCCATCAATGGGGCTCACTGACTCTGTCCCTGGCGCTGTGCTAAGAACATGTCTTAATTCATTTAATCCTTACAACGCCCCCTATATAAGGGAGGGGATTTTTAATGCCCCATTCTACAGATGAGGAAACTGAGATCTGTGGGGAGATGACTTTGCTCAAAGTCAGGTCGCTCATTAGCGGTGGAGCCAGGATTTGGACCCACATGTGATCACTACACTACCCAGATGGCAACGTGTGCTGTCATATGGCCTGAGGACCGTGTCCTGAGATGGTGCAGAAAGCCCAGGCTTAGAGGGTCAATCCAGAAAGTACACTGGCTTAGGGGGTGGACGGGCCTCAGATGAAATGCTGACTCTACCACTCACGAGCCACGTGCCCTTGGGCAAGTCATTTCACTTCTCTGAGCCACAGATCCCCCCCTCTGCAGAGTGCAGGAGGTCACACCTGACTCCTAGGATTGAAGGGCATAGCGCAGCTCCAGGCACACCATAAAGCTCCAGAAAAGAAAGGCATAGCTATTTTGATTAGCATCATGGTCAAGGAAGACAGGAAGGCCTTCAGGGAGCCTGAGGCTGGCGCCAGGCCTTTAAATTGGAGAGAAGGACTTTAATGGCAGAGGAGAGCTGGGCAGGCAGCTGGAAGGTGGGATGGGTGGGAGTTGGGGTGGAGGGGAAAGAGTGCCCCTTACCAAGGCTCCAAGTGGAAGGCATAAGTCATGTGCAGAGACCAAAAGCCATGGCCTCTCTCCCACAGGTGCCAGGGTGAATCTGGGGAGTGGATGCCCTGCCACAAGGCCCATGGGGGGACCTGTCGGTGCCCAATCCAAGGCCTCATCGAAGGCCAGAGCTATCGATTCCGGGTGAGAGCCATCAACCAAGCAGGAAGCAGCCTCCCCTCCAAGGCCTCAGAGTTGGTTGTCATGGGTGATGCTGATGAGGCTGGGAGGAGGATAGGTGAGTACAAAGGCCCCGCAGGGACATTCCAGAGCTTCCCTCAGGGCATGCCTGGGGGGCTGCACACAGGAGACAGGTAGCATGGTTCCTATACCAAGTCTCTGTCCAAGGGGAGCGACCCAGCCCAGTCTTCAGAAACTCATCATTGTCTGATGGGGAAGATACCCTCCTATCCTAAGGAACCCTAGCCTGAGGGAGAAGGTACAGCTCTGCCCTCAGGAGCCCTAGGCTGATGGAGGAGACACATTCTATCCTGAGGAGTCGCTAATCTGAGGAAGGACCACAGCACTTGCTTTAGATGCCTCTCATCTGAAGGAGAGAAGCAGCCCTGCCCTCAGGAGTCCCCAGCCTGAGAGAGGGACACAGCTGCCTCAAGCCCTTAGGACTTAGCTTGACTTGGGTTTGCCCCCAAGCCCCATCATGTCCTAGGTGGGCCCTAGGCAACTCATTTCTCCTGTCTGTCCTCATTTGTCCCAAGAGGACAGAGTATTTCTCTGTATCTGAGAGCATCGTTCCACTTTGGACCCCTGGGGAAACTGAGGCCCAGAGAGGCCCTACCTAGGGCAATCCAGCAAGGGGCCACAAGGCTAGGACCGGAAACCAATGGGAGGTTCAAAACCCAAGCAGGGCAGTCCTGCCTTGACTCGTTCTGCTGAGCCAGCCCCCCACCCCTCACTTCTCCCCCAATCTGCTTCATTCTTGATCCTAGAGATCCCCTTTGATCTGGGAAACAAGATCACAATCAGCAAAGACGATTTTGAAGGTATGTGTAAATCTTCTAAACACTTTGCCCCAAGACTCCAGCGTCCTTTGTGGCTCTGGAAACTCTGGCACAAGTTGGCAAAGAGGCAGAAGCTGGCCGCTTGCAGGGTGTGGGGCAGTGAGAGTGGTTGAGGTCTAGTTGGAGGAAGCCAGTGTTCTCGGGGTGGCTGTGGCTCATCTTGCTGTGCCCCTCTTAGAGGAGGTGGTACATTGGGAAAAGTCCTGGGCAAGGCTGTAGGGAGCCCTGGCTATGCCTTGCCTTGCTGGGTGACCTAGAGCAAGTCTCTGCCCCTCTTTGAGCCCCAGGTGCCTCCTCTATGGAACAAGGGGCTGAGATTAGGGGCCTCTGAGACCCACCCATCTCTGCCTTTGGACAACTCTGATTCCAGAACCCGTGACCATCCCCTTGGCGCCAACCAATGTCCATGCCAGCGAGATCCGAGAGACCTACGTAGTCCTGGACTGGGAGGAGCCTAGCCCCCGGGGCAAGGCCCCATTGACATACTCCCTGGAGAAGGTATGGAGACTCCAAGGGCCCTAGCCCCTAGATGCAACCTGAGAAATTAGCATGCTGGGGGACCCAGTTATGGGGAGTGCTGGGAAGTGCAGAGAGACCCCACGCAGTGCCCCTGGAGAGGCCATCAGAGAAAAAAAGAGAGCACCTCCCTGGGAAAGGTCTGAGCATAGTCCCGCCACAGGGCTTGAGGTCACCTCCAGCCCGGGAGAGGCCAGCTATCAACAGTAAATTATTGAGGCTGTTCATGGAAATACACAAAATTAAAAGGCAGGGACAACAATGACAATAATAAGAGCCACTGTTTCCTGGATACCTCCCCTCTGGCATAGGGTCACACATTGGGTCAAACAACTCTTCTTGGTATGTTGGGAAGGAAACTAGGCTGGCACCCAGCAGCCAGGGCACCAAACAGCAGCTTTCATGGGACATGGGGCAGGGTGTGTTTAGCACCAGCAGGAGGTTCTCCGTGGGGACAGGTGTCTGGGGAAACCCCAGTGGTGAGGGCTGCTTGTGTGGAGTGGATTTCACTGGAGGGGAGGTAACATGGCACAGGTAAAAAAAAAATCAGGTATTAAAATCAATTCAAATCCTGGCTTCTGCTGAGCGATCCTAAGCTGGTTTCTTAACTTCGCTCAGCCTCCATTTCCTTGAGCATAGAATGGAGACCCTACCCTGGGAGTTTGAAATAAGACACAGCTCACAGCAGGGGCCAGCAGCTCTGGGTCTGTAAACGCTTCCCAAGGAGATATTCTAGACTCTGATTCTCCCGGAAGGCAGAGACCAGCTTGATCAGCTCATTGCTCTCTGTGCCCCACACAGTGCCTTGTACGTAATAGGTGGACAGCAAAGATTTAGTAAATAAACAAAGAAGAAATTTCCAGGGAGAAATCTCTAGCTCTGGTGATCCAAATGGGCCTCTCTTTTCACATTCAAGGGTGATCCTATTTCTCTGACATGGGAAAATTATAGGCAATTGAAGATTTGTTTTGTGGGGCTATAGAGCATAATGGGGACATTGGTATTTCAGTGGTAGAATTCTCACCTTCCACGCAGGAGACCCAGGTTCAATTCCCAGCCAATGCACCCCATGTGCAGCCACCATCCTCTCTGTCATGGAGGCTTGTGTGTTGCTATGATGCTGAACAGGTTTCAGCAGAGCTTTCAGACTAAGATGGACCAGGAAGAAAGGCCTGGCAATCTACTACCGAAAGTCAGCCAGTGAAAACCCTATGGATCACAGTGGTCCAATCTGAAACTGATCATGGGGATGGCGTAGGCCCGGGCAGCGTTTTGATCCACTGTACATGAGGTTGCCATGAGGCAGGGGCAGACTCAATGGCAGTTAACAACAGAGAATATAATGGTTAAACCTTGGATTCAGACTGCTTGGGTTCAAACGCTGTCTCTGCTACCTACTAGCTGTGCGACCTTGGGCAAGTTATTTAGTTTCTCTGTGCCTTAGTTTCTTCTTTCATACAATGGAGATGAGAATAGTACATGCCTTGTAGGGTTAATAGGAGAATTAATTTAACTAAAACAGGTAAAGATTTAAAACAGGACCCAGCACACAGTAGGTGCACAGTAGGCGCACAGTAGGTGTTGATTTTTATGGCTGTTTCTTGGCCCAGCTGCGTTCGAGGCCACAACAGTCAGATAGGCCTGGGAAGGGATGGGCAGGGAGGGCGGGGCCAGTGCGTCCCCCTAGAGTGTCTAGGATCCAGCTCTCATGCCCAGACTCAGCAGAAATGGTCTCTGGATGCCCTTGACTGCCTTCGTTACCCTTGACTCTTCACCCTCTATCTGTCCAGAGACTCAGAATTTATTGCTGCCTTTTGCATCCCTGAAGCTATGGAGAGTGAGCATGTTTGGGGGCATCCATACCTGAGCTTAAATACCAGCTCCACCAGATTTTAGATGCTTGACCAGTTCCCAAAACTCTCTGAACCTTAGTTTCCTCATCAGTGGGGAAATTAAAACCTACCTTGCAGGGTTATTGTGAGAATGCATCCATGTGTTTGTTTATTCATTCAATAACCATAGATTGAGCACCTCCCATGTGCTAGTACTGTTCTAGGCCCTGAGGACACAGCAGTAGATAAAACAGATAAATCCCTACCTTGAGGAGCTAACATTTGAGTAGGGAGATGGGGGACAGACAATAAAAAAGATAAATCAGTAAAATATTTAGTACATTGGCTAGTGGTAGGTGCTAAGGAGAAAGACATAAAGCAGGGAGGGGAACTTAAAGTGTCGGGGAGAAGCTGTTTAAACTTTGGATGGGGTGACCCAGAAAGGCCTCCTCGAGGTGAGTGTTAAGTAAAGACTTGAAGGAAATGAGGATCCAACTAAGAGATTTCTGGGGGAAGAACATTCCAGGCAGAGGGACCAACACGTGCAAGGGCCCAGAGGCAGGAGTGGACCTGGTACAACCAAAGAACAGCTAGGAGGTACACAGCTGTGGTGGGTGGATAAGGTGGGGGACCAGGGGGTGGGGGGAACTCGGTCAGAGAGGTAGCAGGGGATCAGGTCATGGAGAAGCTTTTGCTCCGAGAGAGATGGGGAGCTTGGGAGGATTCTGAGCAGAAGAGGCACATGATCTCAGTTGTATTTTAAAAGGATCCCTCTGACTGTCATTCTGAGAAAAGACTGAAGGGGGTAAAGGTAGAAACAAGGAGACCAGTCAAGAGGCTATTAAAATAATTCAGGTGAGAAATGGTGGTGGCTTGGATCAAGGTTGTGGGGGGAGCAAGAGTAAGCTGTGTTTGGATTCTGAATAAATTTTGAAGGTAGCACCAACAGGACTTGTTGATGGACCAGGTGTGGAGTGTGAGGGAAAGAGAGACGTCAAGGATGGCTCTCTGGTTGTGGCCAGAGCAACTGGAAGGATGGGTGCCATTAACTCAAGATGGGCGGCACAGGTGTGGGGGAACGTTCCAAAGTTGAGTTCTGGATGTGTTGAGTGTTGAGATGCTTGCTCATCAGGCGTCTAGGTGGAGTTGTAGAGGAGCAGGGGGATCCACAGCTCAGGTGTTCAGGGCCAGACTGGGCTGGAGATAGAAGTTACTAGAACATATGAGGAGAGTGCCCAGCACAGAGCCTGACCCATGCAACCATATAACCAACTGAGTTTCTCTCCATTTTCACAGTCCGTCATAGGTAGTGGCACCTGGGAGGCCATCAGCTCAGAGACCCCTGTGAAATCTGCACGATTCGCCCTTTTGGATCTGGAGAAAGGGAAGTCTTACGTCTTCAGAGTGCGAGCAATAAACCAGTATGGCATGAGTGATCCCTCGGAGCCCAGCGAGCCCATCACCCTGGGGAGAAAACCAGGTACCTGTGTGATGCGGGAGACGGGGATAGGGGCAGGGTGGGCCAGGCTGCCAGCACCCACAGCTCAGAACTCCACGTCTGCAGGGACAGAGCTGTGCCCATTTTCCGCCCCGACCCTTTCTCTCTATCATGAAACAGAAAAGCAACATGTGCTCATGCCTAGAAAGTTTTAAAACACCAGAAATCACATTTCTCTGAGCAGGAGGCTTGTGGGAATACAGACGTTTCTTCCAGATCAACAGCTCACAGGTTACAGAGGCCAGCGGGGTCCAGCGTGAGAGCCAAATGTTAGAGGTGGTCCCTCAGCTCTACAGGTCTCTGACCAGCCCCCTAGATCTTGCCTCTTGTGGCAGGCCTTCTCAAGGAGCATGCCTTCTGAGAAGGTCCCCTGCCCCCTCCCTGGTGCAGGCTGAGCTGTCCCACCCCAAGCCCCGGCTCACCAGGCAGGACACTGTTCTGATCTGCAGTGCCACGTGGGCTTGGGCAAGTCGTTTCCAAGCTGTGAGCTGCGGTGTCCTCATCTGGCAAACCCACTGTTCTGTGGGCCCTGGTTAATGCCCCACCTCCAGCTCCTTCCTGAGTCTCCCACCTGCAGCTCCATCCTGGGCCCCCACTTCCTGAGGCACCCACCCACCAAGGCCTCTGGATTCTGGGCCTCTTCAGTCAGACCAGAAGTCCCCTTTAGCTGCCATCCCCAAGTAGTCCTTCTAAGGAACCCAGCTGCAGCGCCACTCATCACAGAGAAGCCTGGCTTGCCACGAGTCCCATGTGGAGAAGATTTCAAAGCCCGAGTAGATTTGCTCTGCTTCAATAATTTAGGGGGAAAAATTATTCTCAAGGCAAGTATGGATGGGTCAGTGAGCAAGTTGTTTATACTTGAATTCTGGTCCACTTAACATTTGGGCTTGATTCGGGCACTGGCCAGTGAGCCGGTTGTGATGGGATGATGGGCAGTGTCTGGCCACAAGCCAGCCTTAGGGCGAGGTGCAGGTACGTGTGAAAGGGAAGGGAAGGAAGGAAAAGGAAAGGAAAAAAGAAAGGGTTTTTTTTTTTTTTTTTTAACTATAAAACTAAATTTTTTGTATAAAAATGGGAAGATACAAAAAAGAAAAAAATTTTAGAAGGAAGGAGGGTAGAAAGAGAGGAAGGGAGGAAGGGAAAAGAACACCTGGCCCCCGCCATGATCCCACCGCCTGGGGGTAACCACTGTGAGCATTTGGGCGCCTGGGCTTCTGGATTTTTAACCACACACATATCAATGCATCTTTTTGAAAGTATAATCAGACTATGTAGAGCTTTGCATTTTACTTTTAAAACTTCACATTATAGCACAAACATTTCCTCGGGTCATGAAATCATGACTTTAGTGTCTGAGACTACTCCATACCATTGATATCCTCAGCTCACGTTCTTGCCCTTGGCTAGAATCGGGTCTCTTGGGCATATGGGGTCTCTGAGGGGCCTCCTTGCACCCTCTCCCTCCATCCTGTCTGCACCCACTGCCACAATGTCTTCAATCCAAGAGGCTGAAGGAGCTGACAGGACCCTCCTGAGGCTGGGACCTCGTGTCTATTCCTCAACACTTTCCCACCGCTGAGTGCAGTGCTGGCTCTAAGTAGGCACTCGATCAATACTGGATTCATGTTGGATGGATGCTGAGATCTGTTTTTTCCTGTTAACTTTGGGACACTACCCAAATACCAGGGCAGCTGTCCAGAAGAAAATGGAAGATGAAGCTCTGGAATATATGAGAGAGGTTAGAGCTGGAGATGAAGCCCCGGGAGTCACCTGCACAGAGGTGGACGCATGCAAATAGGCAAGATCCCGGAGAATGAGAGGAGGGAAGAAAAACGGAGCAAGTCAAGGAATCAAAGCTTGGTGGAGTCCCACGTTTGTGGACAAATGAAGATGGGGAGCCACCAAAGGATGGTGATTTTTTATACAAAAAATATACTTTTACAGTAAAAATAAATATCCTTTCTTTTTTCCTTTTCTTTTCCTTCCTTCCCTTCCCTTTCAGACGTACCTGCACCTCGCGCTAAGGCTGGCTTGTGGCCAGACACTGCCCCTCACCCAATCACAACCCGCTCAGTGGCCAGTCCCTGAATCAAGCCCAAATGTTAAGTGGACCAGAATTCAAATAAAAACGACTTAGTCACTGACCCATTCATACTTGCCATGAGTTTTAGAAGTAAAAAGAAAGCTAGCAAGGTCATATGCCTGCCATCCATCCATCTATCCATCCATCTGTCAATCCAGCCATCTATCTGTCCCTCTGTCCGTCTATCCATCTGTTTATCCATTCGACCATTTAACAGACCATAGCAGCCCCTATAGTCTCAGGTAGGCATGAAAGTCAAGAGAGGAGTTTCAAGAAAAGGAGATCAAGTTTTCTAGAGATGAAGATAGGAACTTAGGAAGGCTGTCTGATTTGGTGACTCCTGAGAGAGAGAGAGACAACTTGTAAGGATTAATGAATAGGGGGCTTTAAGTGAGGAAGCAGAGCTGTTGGGAGATAAAAAGAGAAGGGGACATTGAGGATACAAGGGTCTGGGTGCACTCTGGACTCTGGGAAGGAGCAGCCCACGGCCCCAGGGCATGTCTGGAATCCGGGTACCAGCCTTGATCACTGTGGGGTCACCTGCCTGCCTCTCCTCACACTCCTCCCCACCCCCGGCCTTTTAATTTGTAGCTCAGCATCCTCAGACAGCCCACATTTCTGTCTTTTAGTTACTCTGCCTCCTCCCACTCAAGTTCAAGCTTTCCGAGACACGCAGACCTCCATCTCCCTGACCTGGAATCCTGTGAAAGATAGCCCCGAGCTCCTGGGTTACTATGTCTACTCCCGGGAGGTAGGGTCTTCTGAGTGGCAAACAGTCAACAACAAGCCCACGCAGGGCAACAAGTAAGTCAGCTGCACCTCTTCTCGCACCCGGGCCTCCTCAAAAGAGGGGCCGGAACAGTAATGACAGCTGCCATTTCACAGTATTCACTCTGGGCCAAGCACTGCTCCAAACCCTTTTCATATATTAATTCATTAATTCCTAACTGCAATCCTGTGGAGTCCCTGGGCTGCATGAATGGTTAAGCATTCAACTACTAACCAAAATGTTGGCGGGTTGAACCCACCCAGAGGTGCCTCAGAAGAAAGGCCTGGTGATCTGTTTCCAAAAGGTCACAGCCATGGACACATATGGGGTTGCTGTGAGTTAGAGTCTACTTGACTGCAACTGGTTTGGTGTTTGGTTTTGGTTCTTTTTCAAGAACAAAGCTCAAAGTCCTGAAGATGTACCACACAGCACTGGGCCAAGCAGTGGCCACCTTTCCCAGAGTATTTGCATTTTAATGGTGAGCTCCAAAAGAGTAAAAAAAAAAACCATTGCGGTCCAGTCGATTCCGACTCAGGGCGACCGCATGTGCTGCAAAGTAGAACTGCTGCATAGGATTTTCTGGCTGTGATCTTTACAGAAGCATATCACCAGGCCTTTCTTCCGTGGTGCTGCAGGGTTGATTTAAACCGCCAACCTTTTGGTTAGTGGTTGAGCACAAACAGTTAATACCACCCAGAGGAGCAAACACCCTTTAAAACCTTAAGGAAAAATCCTCCAGGGTGGTATTTCAGGCATCATTATGGGGACAGGACAATAATGTTAGATAAAATCCTCAAATCCTACCATGCTGGTGGCCACTTGTCCCACAAGGTTGTTCTAGAATGTTCAGGAATGTCTCTGAGGTGTTCAGCCATCCCTGAGGGCTGTACATTTCTCTCCCAGATTCACAGTTCCTGGCTTGAAGACAGGGAAGGAGTATGAGTTTTGTGTCAGCGCAGTCAGTGAGGCCGGGGTAGGTGAGCGGTCAGCAGCCACTGAACCCATCAGGGTCAAGCAGGCTCTGGGTAAGTCCAAAGGAGCAGGTCCAGCCTGCAAGCCTCTGGGGGCAGCCCTGGGTGGGCAGAGAGCTGGCAGCTTATAGACCACATCCTGGAGCCCACTCCTAGAGGCCAATGGGGTGTAAGTCCTCTGAGGGGCACTGGGGCTGACCCTGACTACCTTTTCCACTGGGGAGGGAGTAACAACGGCCTGAGGCCATGGACAAAACCTGACCAGCTCTAGGGGTGAAGAGGTCTCCCAGGCCCAGAAACCTGAAGCCCAGGTCCCCTCCATGGGGCAGAGTCAGGGTTAACAGCAGATGTGGCTGGCTAAGGGAAGACCCCCTGGAGCAGGGCGGACACTCACTGAGGGAGGCTTGTTGGCTCCCTCAGTCCCCACTACCCAATCCACCCTCCCCTGGGGAGCGCTTCCCTCACCTCCTTGCCTCCCTATAGCTACTCCATCTGCCCCATACGATTTCACCCTCCTGAACTGTGGGAAGAATGATATGGTCATTGGGTGGAAACCCCCCAAGCGTCGAGGAGGTGGTAAGATCCTGGGCTACTTCCTGGACCAGCACGACTCAGACGAGCTGGACTGGCATCCGGTCAACCAGAAGCCCATCCCAGCCCGGGTCTGCAAGGTAAGGCTGGAATATGGCCACTGCCCTTGCCTCATTGTGCATGCAGGTGGAGACCTGAGCCCACCGTTTGAGGCCCTGAGGCTGAAGGAGGCTCATTTTCAAGCACAGATACACAGACCTACCTTCCTGCTCTGAATCTCTCCTCCTGGCCCAGCACCTCTTCCCCTTCCCTTCCCTAGCCTCAGCCTCACGATGTGTGCTTCTGCCCTTCCAGATCAGCAACCTTCATGAAGGCCACTTCTATGAGTTCCGTGCCCGGGCAGCAAACTGGGCAGGTGTTGGCGAGCTGTCAGCACCCAGCAACCTGTTTGAGTGCAAAGAGTGGACGATGCCCCAACCAGGTGAGAGGGCTAGAGGTCCTGGAGTCCAGCACCTGCCCTTGCTCCCTCCCTCCAAATCTAGCCAAGGAGATAAGCAGTGCAGAGCTCTGCATGCATTCAAGCTTGCTCTGCTGGTCCCTGACCCCAGGCCCCTGACCCCCTCCACAAACTGACACAGACTGAGTCTTAACCCTGCCTTAGAAGACCCCTGACTTTGGCCATAGACTGGCCCTGTACCCTCGGCATAAACTATCCCGATCTTGACACACCATCTGAGCTCCGATTCTGGCCCCAGATTGATCTCAAATTCCAAAGGCACACTGCCAGGGTGGCCAACTCCCAGTTGACCCAGAACTTTCCCAATTTTACCACTGGAAGTCCCATGTCCCAGGAATCTCCTCAGTTCTGGACAAACAGAGATAGTTGGTCACCCTACACACTGCCCCCATAACCTCATTAACATTCTCACAAATGAGCCCCCACCTCCCCCCGAGGAAGGAAGAATACAACCTTCTATCACTGTTCAGCTCAGTTCCATTTCCTACACAAAATCTTTACCTGAATGGCAGGTGTAATGCTTTAGACTATACCAATTATAATAAACCCAAAATCAAACCCACTGCCATCGAGTCAATTCTGACTCATGGTGACCCTATAGGATGGAGTAGAACTGCCCCATAGGGTTTCCAAGGCTGTAAATCTTTATGGAAGCAGGCTGCCACATCTTTCTCCCATGGAGAGTCTGGTGGGTTCGAACCACCGACCTTTGGGTTAGCAGCCAAGCACTTAACCACTGCACCACCAGGGATCCGTGTGTATCAGACACTTTCCCTAAATTATCTCGTTAATGTTCACAGCAGCACTATATTATAAGAACTATTATTATGTCCGTTTTACAGATGAGGAGGCAGGAACACAGAGGTTCAGTAATTTGCTTGGAGTCCCCACAACTAGAAAGGGTGGAGATGGGACATGAACCCCAGCATTCTGACCCTAGAAGTCACAGCCTTACCCCCTACACTAAATACTAAAATGCCAAAGACATTAGGAGAATTAACACTGTCTGAGATGGGGATGGGGAGGGTCAGAGAAGCTTCCAGAAGAAAGTGATCTGAGCACATTTTGAGGATTTAACCCTATTTCAGCACCAGAGCCAAGCTTTGTCATGAAGCCAAGGCCAGCCAGGTCCCCATTATGCCCACAGCAGATGCATCCAGGCCTGGTTGTGACTGACAGATTGATAGTCTTGCTAAGTGACCGTTCAGCTCACTGCCCAGTTGACTGGCTGCCTGCCTGTCTGGCCGACTCCCTCTCCGTTTCGTCTCCCACAGGACCCCCCTACGATGTGCGGGTGTCCGAGGTGCGGGCCACCTCCCTGATGCTGCAGTGGGAGTCCCCGCTGTACACGGGAGCCGGGCCAGTCACAAGCTTCTGTGTCAGTTACCAGGAGGAAGGCTCTGAGCAGTGGAAGCCAGTCACCCCACACCCCATCTCTGGCAACCATCTAAGGGTGAGTCCCTGCCCCTTTTGTCCTCTGACTGGCCCTGAATTCTTCCCTGCCACTGGACATAGCAAAACCACAGAACATCAGAGCCAGAATGCCCCTCAGAGGTTGCTAACCTCACTAATGGCAGCAGAGGCCCAGAGAGGGCGAATGATTTACCCACAGTCACACAGCAAGTTGGTAGCAGGTAGGGCTGGTGGTCTTACTCTGCCCCATGCTGGGCAGATTTCTCCCTCAAAACTCACTAGGTTAATCAGCCTGTACCAGGTAACATAAAGAATAAGGTAGTTTAAGGAGTGAGTTAGTAAAGACTAGCAATAGTTTAAAGAATGAGGCAGACCTATATGAATGCATTGACATGCATTGCAGGGCCTGGCCAGGGTGGGGTCACTGGGTTTCCGAGACAGCTCCCCTGCTGCCCCGGCCCATACCTCGATCCTCCTTGCAGTGACCTTCGTGACACTGCAGTGCGCTCTCCAGGCGGACTGGCAGAGTGGGAGCTGCCCGGGCTGCGCACTGCACAGCAGCCCCCGCACCTGTGTGCCCAGGAGCCCTGCGCCCTGCAGTGTTCACACAACATCCAAATCATATAACGTCCTATTTCACAGAATGTATCCTGGATGTTAAGCTACACATGACTGAATATATATATATACTAGTTGCCATCCAATCGATTTTGACTCACAATGACCCCATGTGTGTCAGAGTAAAACTGTGCTCCGTTGGATTTTCAATGGCTGATTTTTTGGAAATATATCACCAGGCCTTTCTTCTGAGGCACCTCTGGGTGGACTCAAACCTCCAACCTTTCTGTTAGCAGCCAAGTGGGTTAACTGTTTTCACCACCCAGGGGCCCCATACGTACGTATTTTTGCTAATTTAAATGGGAAACAAACTCTAAACTCTTTGGATGAATAAGAAATCTAGCAGAATCTTTGGTTTTATTCATCTGTGGTAGTAGTTGCTTTAACTCCCACACATGTAGGAAAAAAGAGAAGTGCAAACCATCTTCATCTGGCATAACAAAGACAACTCACAGATATATATCCATTTCAGAAAACAAGAGTGTCCACTGAAACGTTATTAGCAGACACAAATTACTAACTTAGACAGTCGAGAATTTCCAACTTTCAGGTCACCAGAGGCCACATTCATGACCACGTCTGAAGCCAGCAGGTCTCACAGGCTTGCTTTGTTCAAGTAACATCTGTAAGGACAGCTCTGTGAGGCAGATTAGCTTTGATTTTCTGCAGCCCTAGGGAAAGGAGGAATGTGGTCACCAACTCATTTTCTTGAGGTGTCTTTCACCAGCAGGCAGGAAGGTGTGCAATTTTCAAGACCACACATTACATTCTGTGAGTTAGCACCAGGAGAAAAGAAGACAGACTTGAGAAACCCAAAACTTCCAATGCAGGAAGAACAACACTACGGTACTAACAGACTACAGCGCATGGCATGTTTCTACATGTTTTATGTACATTAAAAAGTCCAAAGAGACTTTTACCAAATTGTTAACTCTGCTCCTCTCTGGGGATGGGACTGCAGGGGAACATTAATCCTTCAAGTTATGTTCTTCTCTATTGCTTTAAATTGTTCCCTACAAGCATGTATTTCTTTTATAACCAGAAAAAATAAAAAGACTTTTATTTTGAAAGAATAAAAGGCCGCCTAAGACAGAATAGGGAGGAACAGACTTGACCAGTGAAATGTGCTGAGATTCTGCAGTTTCCGATTCCACGGGGCTAGTCTCCCCAGCGGTAGAGTCGGCCAGCACTGGACAGATGGCCTGAGAGAGCCAGGCCCAAAGGTGGTCCCTCCGCCTCCCCATGTAGGCTCAGGATTGGCCCAGGCGAGGGCGGTGCGGCGCTCGAGAACTTGGCACCAGTCTCTGCGCTTGGATAGTTGGCCAACGTTCACTCACACACTAACTCACTAAACACTTCTTGACACCTACTTAGTGCTAGGTCTGGAGCCAGGTCCTAGACATAAAAAGCTAAAGAAGTCATGGTTGTTGGCCTAAGAAATTCATGGCCTGATAAAAGACAGAGAGGTAACTGGCAATTACAATACTGTGTGATAAATGCTACCATTGAAGGGGGCCTGAGGGATTCTGGGAACTCAAAGGAGGAAGGTCAGAGAAGCTTCCAGAAATCCTCACATTTGCTCGAGCTGAGTGGTGAAGGGTAAGTTGGAGTTAGCTAGACCAAGAAGGAGGGGAGAGCTTTCAGACAGAAGGTTAATCAGGGCAAAGGGAGGGAGGCCTGAAATGATACGATGAACTTAGGGACCTTGAAGGAGTCTGAAGTGAAGGGGTCATAGAAAGAAGGAGAACAGAGGCTTAGGCCAGATTAGGAAGACTTTATGTACTAAACCTCAAAATTTGAACTTTACCTGAAAGGGCAATGAAAGACTTAAGCAGCATCAGATTAGAATCTTGGAAAGATTGGCACGGGGAAAGATAGATTGGGAAAGAAGGGTCTCAAGACAGAAGTCATTGAGGAAACTGTTGGGATAATCCAGGTAAGAAAAGATGAAGCCTCAATCAAAGGCATGGCGGGACATGGGGGAAAGATGCCACATTCAAGAATCGTTAAGGAAATAAAATGGGCAGAACTTGGTGATTGGATGTGGAGGGCTCCAGAGAAAGATGTAAAGATGGCTCCCAGACTTCTCTCTTGGGTGATGAGATGGATTGGGGTATCATTTGGAGAGGCAGGGGGCATAGAAAGAGAGAGGGTTTTCTTGTTTGCAGATAATGAGTTAGACTTCCACCTTGAGTTTCTGTGTTTGGTGATGGAAAATATGGCAACAATTGTTGGTGATGGTTGCGCATGATTAATATAATTGGTGTCACTAAATTGTACACGTGAAAAACATTGAATAGGCTAGTGTTATATGATATATATTTTTATAGCAACTTAAAAAGAAAGGAAGGAAGGGAGGGAGAGAGAGGGGAGGAAAGAGACAAAGAGAGATGAAGGGAGGGGGAGGGGAGTGACGGAGGGAGAAAGGGATGAAGAAAGAAAGGATTTTAGAGCAGGTGAAGTTCCAGGTGCCACACCTGTGAGATAATCCAGGTGGAGAGGCCATTAGAAAACTGAACTCAGGATCTAGAATCCAGGAAAGCAATGTGTCCCGTGCCTGTCCCTACCCCACAGGGCAGTCCGAGATCCCCTGCACCCGACAGGCAGAGGTGCGGGAAGGGTGAATCTTTGCTGATGCCCAGTGCTCACTCTTGGCCACCCCCACCCCCAGGTTTCTGACTTGCAGTCAGGGAAGAGTTACGTGTTCCGGGTACAGGCTGTGAATTCAGCTGGTCTGGGGCAACCATCAATGCCCACCGACCCCGTGCTCCTGGAAGACAAACCAGGTAGGGGTGGGCAGAGAGTGCCAGGGTGCCACTGCCTGGCTGTGCCAGGAGGACAAGGTGGATCTCAGAGGGAGTTAGGAGATGGGTGAGGATCTGCAGAAGGTCAGGGCTCCAAGCTCACTGAGGGCCCTTCCTCCCATTAGCTCCTCCACCTTCTTCCAGCAATGCTTTTCCTCTTCTTGCCTGCTTTCTCTCCCCATCCCCCTCCAGTATCTTTTCTATGTGATTTGACAATATCTCCCATTTTTTTTATATTCTCGGAGCCACACAACTCTTTCTGGGTATTTAAAATAATCTCCAACTCCATTTCCAATACCACACACGGCTTTGCCTGCCTTGCAGTCACAACTCCGGGGATCTCCTCCTACTACACACGCCTTGCAGGGGTCCTTACACTGCCTCTGGCTGTCCCAACAAGCCTTGGAGGCAGTGGCATCACTGTGGGGTGTGGAGGGTGCAGACCGCACCGGGCGACACTGTCAGAGGGAGTGACACCAAAATGACTGTTCATAAAATTTTTGTGCAGTGTTTCAGCAGAAATTTATTGTTTTTAATAAAAATATCCCTGTAGTTAGTTTTAATAACAAAAAAATTTTTTGTAAGCCCAGTTTACATGTATCAATATACCTACAAGGCTAAACCTCTATACTAATTTACTTTTTGAACCTTCTAATGCACCCGGTCAGAGCCGTCATTATTACCCAATTGCAATGACGCTTCAAATCACTGTGGTTTCGTCTGCACGTGCTACAAGCACGTGCCATTGTTTTCATTGCTGCCAGTGTTTTTATAGTGGCTGATTTTGTCAAATTTTCTGGTGTTTTAGCTACAATATTGTGGTAATTAGCAGGGGGAGGTGACACCAGGAGTTACTGCACTGGGTGACACCAACCCACTGCCTGGAGGGAGGGATCATGGTCCCCCTTTTATAATCCACTCAGAGAGGTTAAATGAACAGGCCACAGAGCTAATGTATGACTAAATCACTCAGTGCTCTTAACTATAAAACATGTTCTCTTTCCGTTCTTTGAATTATCCATTCATTCGCCAAATATTTGGTGATGCCACATTGCAGCGGGATACAGCAATGAATGAGAAATCGAGGTCCCTGCTCTAGTGTATATGGGTAGGGGAGGAACCAAGTAAACAACTACATCAAGAAGATAATTCATGACAATAATAGGTGTTGTAAAGGAAATATAAGAGGATGATATGGGCGGGTGGGGGTTACCTTAGTTGAGGTGGTCAGCGAGGGCTTCTCTGAGGAAGAGCTGGATCATACAAGGCCTCAGAGGCCACAGCAAGGGGTGTGGGTTTTTTTTTTTTTTTTTTTTTAATTCAAGTGCAGTGAGAAGCCACTGGAGGGTTTAAGCAGGGGAGGGTCACAGCCTGGTTTTTTGTTTATAAATGTCTGGTCCTTCCGTTGGCTCCTGCCCTCAGATGCCCATGAGATCTCAGTTGGTGTGGATGAAGAGGGCCGTATCTACTTGGCTTTCGAAGCCCCCGAGGCCCCAGACTCTTCAGAGTTTCAGTGGTCCAAGGACTACAAGGGCCCCCCAGACCCTCAGAGAGTCAAGATCGAGGATGAAGTTGACAAGTAAGTGAGGGGAGAGGAGAAGCCACAACTACTAGATGGGCCTATTATGGGCGGACGAGTTGGCAGAAGCTCTGGGGAGAGTCAACAGAGCAGGACTCACACACAATGGGTTCAAAAGGGACCACGTGGTCTCTTACAAGCATGCAGACTGCAGTCTTAGCGAGACATGAGAAGAGAAAACACTTAAGGGGCTGAAAGGGCAACTTTCTTTTGGAGGTTATTTTTCTCTAAGGCACTGTGTGTGCCTCTGCCTTGGTGCATCCGAGGAAACGCTCAGGACCAGGACTAGATTTCTAACCTGGGCTGCCAGCGACTTATTTCTGCAAGGTTCTCTGGGCTCAGTTTTCTCATCTGTAAAATGGGAGGTTGAAGACAGATGACCACAAAGGCCCCTGTGAAAACACCCCCATACCTCACTGCTCTCCCAGCAACTTGTAACTCCTTAGCTCTGTCAGCCTCGAGCCCTCGAAAACAAGAGACAGGGCAGTGCAGTTAGTGGGCAGACCCAGTGCCAGAACTGTGCCATCGGGGGCCATAGAAGGTTCCAGGCCAGAACTTCCCAGGGAGAAGGGCCCAAGGAAGTTCCCAGGTTGACCAAGGTCTGGGGTAGAATGCAGGGACACTGGAGCTGACAGAGACTCTCTAGCTCCAGGCCTCCAGTGCACAGGGCCAAGGAGCCCCTCTCGGAGCCTCCACTCTCCCCTCTCTGCCAGGTCCAAGGTCATCCTGATAGAGCCTGGACTCGAGGATCTGGGCACCTACTCAGTGGTGGTCACCGATGCTGATGAGGACATCTCGGCAAGCCACACACTGACCGAGGAAGGTAATGCCCCCCTCTCTACTACCGCCTCCCCATAGAGACAGACCCAGATCAAGGTCCAAACACAAATGTCTACAGAAGCTGAGCAAGAAGCAATGAAAATGAATAAGGCAGCAATTTTTGGAGAGACATAGGCCCTCACCTACTCATTCATTCATTCAATCATTTACTCAATTAATATCTATTGAACACTTACCATATGCTTGGTACCATCCTAGGCGCTAGGGATTACATCAGTGAACTCAACAGACAAAAATCCATGACTGGTAGAGTCCACATTCTTCTTATCTCTCTTTCATCTTTCCACTTCTGATAAAGGCAAGGATACCTGAATTATTTTGCTTTTCCTGTAGCCTAAGAAAAACAACCATGCCAGTTTGATAATAATTGCACATAGCAGTTGGTCTCAGGAATGCGTATCACAATAGAGAGAGGCAGAGACAGTGGCAAACCAGACAGTGGATGCGATGTCTAAGGGGTCATCCATGTTTGGTGAATTAAACCAGACCAAATCAGTGCCAGTGACTGATGAGAAGCTCTGCTATCTCCATGGCAAGTGAGGAACGGTCCTCACCCGCTGCCTTCCCTGATGATTGCACATGAGGCTCTTTGATCTTGTCTGACCTTGGACAAGTCATTTCACCTCTCTGAGCCTCAGTTTCTTCATCTATAAACGGGGATTATAATCCCTGGCTGCCCCAACTGACACAGTGTTGTTATGCAGATACAGTTCGGTGATGCATATGCACACTAAGCCACCCACAAAATAGATGTTTGTTTGTTTTGACCAAATGCTTGCCATGAGCCTGATATTAGGTTAAGGACTCCAGGGTTTATAAAGGAATATGAGGCATGGGCTCTGCCCCGGCTAATTCATCCATGTAACACATATTCATGGAGCACCAGACACTGGGGAAGGTCCAGAGCTCAGCTTATCTGGAGAGACAAATGTAACACGAAGAAATAGCAAGTGAGACAGCATTCTGCAGAACAACCTTAGAGACTTCTAGACTGAGGTGCTCAGTGTGTAGGCCAGATCTTCAACACCAGGACACCATACTGCCATGGGTTAGTAATGGGGCTCGAAATCAGTGGGACCTGGAGGGTTTTGGGAGGTGCCACCTATCAAAGGGGAACAGTAATGTACACCCCACAGCATTGTGTGAGAACCAAATGAGACAATGCAGAGTGCGGCACATAGTAGGTGCCTCTGAGGAGATGGGACTTGAAATAGGTCTTGAAGAAGAGGGAGAATAAGCAATCTTTGGGCGCCCAGCAGCAGCCCCCAGCATCTCCCTCAATATCCCAAGGCCAGGGACTTCCGTGGCCATCATCAACCCCTGTGTAGCCAAGTGACACCTAGTGGGGGAGGAGGGCTTTTAGGACATCAGGGGAGGGTCTTTCACCAAGCATGGAGCCCAAGAATGTCTCCCACAAACCTCACTAGCCAGGGTATTTCATTCTCTCTGGTTTTTTCCTTGCTCCTCCCTGTCCCAGAGCTGAACAAGCTGAAGAAGTTGAGTCATGAGATCAGAAACCCAGGTAAGCAGTCCAAGCTGCCAGCCTGGGGCAGCTCCCACAGGGCCCACTGGGATGTTCTGAGCAGAGCTGAGCCAGAAAATAAACAGCAGGCAAAGGCTGAGAGAGAGGAGGGCTGGAAGGTCAGAGACGGGAAAGTCAGCATCCATGAAAGGGAAAAGAGCAGACAGCAGGGAGCAAAGGGGATGCGAGGGAGGGAAATGTAAATGTTTTCTTCTTCTTGGAGTTATTATTATTGACTCTTTTCTCGTTTGGATATGGATCATCTAAACCTCTGCTTCCCTCCCTTCGCAGTGGTAGTATGCAGTCCCTGGAGCAGGGGGTTGCAATCTTGGCCACACGTTGGAATCACCTGGAGAGCCTTAAAAAAAAAAGATACCCAGTCTGAACCCCAGCCTGATTAAATCAGACTCTCTGGAGGTGGAACCTAGGCATTAGTATTTTTGAAAGTCCTCGGGGATTCCAGTGCCCAGTCAGGTTGAGGACCTCTGCCCCACAGACCTTGGAGGAGGAACAGCTTGGCTGAGACTAAGTCTCTAGCATGCGGGCAACCAGCGTTCCTCAGACCCCGACTCGGGCTGTGTCTCCTTCCGGCTCTCCAAAAGTCTTGCACGTTAAATGCCAAATGTGCGGTGTAAGTGGAGCTGGTCGGGAGTCGAGAGGGTAGAAGGCGTCACCCACCCACCCCTTCCTGTCCTGTGCCTGGCAGTAATCAAGTTGATCTCCGGCTGGAACGTCGATGTGCTCGAGCAGGGAGAGGTGCGGCTTTGGCTGGAAGTAGAAAAGTTATCTCCCGCCGCAGAGCTGCATCTAATCTTCAATGAGAAGGAGATCTTCAGCTCTCCGGTAACTGCACACTCAGCATTCTGCCTAAGTCAGATTTTCGCGCCCATGAGGTGGCCTCCAGTACCGCCCCCTAGCGGGCATTGAAGAAATGGTTAAGGGGCTTTGGCTGTCACAGGGATGGGGTGGGGTACCTGGCTTTTAGTGCATGAGGGACACATGTCAGAGACATTAGATGCCCACGAATGCGAAGGACACTCCAAGCAACAATTTCCCATGCCTCCCTCCAGCTTTTGAATGTCCAGCTAGACATTTTTTAATTGTGGTGAAAATACACACTCCAAAACGTTCACGAGCACAATTTCCACATTTACAATTCAATAACATTGATTACATTTTTCATGTTGTAACACCATTATTGATATTCTTTTCTAAATATTTCACCACCGTTAATATAAACTCAATTCCCCCCAAAATGAAGACCGCTTTTCCCCTCCCACCCACCCCTGACAGCTATTAATAATCTTTGGCTTCTATACATGTGCTTATTTCATGTAAGTGAGATCATACAGTATTTGTCCTTTTGCACCTAACTTATTTCACTCAGCATAGTGTTTTCAAGATTCATTCATGTTGTAGCATGTATCAGAACTTCATTTCTCTTTACGGCTGCGTAGTATTCCACTGTACGTATGTGTATCCATTCATCTGTTGATGGACTTTTCAGTTGTTTCCACTTTTGGCTATTGTGAAAAGTGTTGTGATGGTATAAACAGTGATTTACAGGTTTCTGATTTGGTTCCTGCCCTTACTATACCTAGGATTGGGATTACTGGATCATATAGTAATTCTATGTTCAACTTTTTGAGAAACCACCCAACTGGTTTCCACAATGGTTGTACCATTTTACATTCCCACGATCAATGGATAAGGGTTCCAGTTTCTCCACAATGTCACCAACACTTACTGTTCAGCCAAACATGCTTAAGATGAAAAACCTACGTTCTGTTGTTTATAATTATCCAAGCCTAGACCCTAACTCTGTTTTAGGTATAAATACAAAGTATTTTTGCACATTTTTTAATAAACACTGAAGATAGAGTTTTATTCTATCAACTACTTTACCTTTCATTTATCTTCTTTTTGTACAGAATAGCTTCTGATATTTTGCTTTTATTTACATCTCTTAAATCCAAACTAATTTGTTATAAATTGGTATAGGCATCTGACTACCTCTAGTAAGGTTGTATCTGAGCATCTACATATTGAAATACCAAACAAAAACCAAACCCGTTGCTATGGAGTTGATTCCGATTCATAGCGACCCTATCGGACAAAGTAGAACTGCCCTATAAGATTTCCAGGGAACAGCTGGTGGATTTGAACTGCTGACCTTAACCACCTAACCACTGTGCACCAGGGGTCTTATTGAAATACAATACATATTATTTTATTTTAAATGACTTATATCTCTTCTTCATATTACAGTTAGAATATTACACTGATTTTTTAAATTATGTACGTAGATAAGTATGAATTGCACCATATGTATTGCCAATGTTCAACTATTTTTACTTATAAACATGGCATTTCATGAGATTCAATCTCATACTATCTGTGAATTTCATCTCCAGATGATAAAGTGGCCATCAGAAAGTGTGTGCTGTAGAGAGTAAGTGCTGGTCTGACAGCAAGGAAAGAGCTCTGGTCTAGAAGCTAGAAGATTAATGTCCGCCCTCTGTAGGTTATGTGAACTCAGACAGGGCTCTTCACCTCTCTGTGCCTCAGTTTCTACGTCTGTATAATGGGGCTGGTTGTCCCAGGATCAATGGGAGCAAATGAGAAAATAAATGTGAAAGTTCTGTGCAAATAGTAAGCATGACCTTGACACATGGTAGATGATGTGTGACAAAGTATGGACTCCAGTACACAAGGCTGGTACAATTGGTTGTCCCTATAGAAAAACAAAATTAGATCGATCCTTCAAGCCGTACATCCAACTAAAACTAGAGGGAGTAAGGATCTAAATGTGGAAAATAAAACTTTTTAAACTGCTAGAAGAAAATAGAGAAACAGAGCTTTAGGACCTGAGGATAGAGGAGGAGTTCTTAAGCAAGACACAGAAAGCAGATGAAGTTGACCACGTCAAAATTTAAAAGTTAGTTTGTACAAAAGACATTAGTATTTTTAAAAGTCCTCTGGGATTCCAGTGAACAGCCAGTTCGAGGACCACTGCCCCAGAGACTTAAACAAAGTTTAAAATAAGGAACTGACTGGGAAAAGATATTTGCAAAAGACAAAGGATAAGAATGCAGACATTGTATATTTTTAAAACTCCTACAAATTGATAAGACAAGAAACAAATGGAAAAAAAAAATTGCTCAAAAGGGTATAAAGAACCAACTCACGGAACAGGAAGTTCACATGACTTCCCTAAGTGATTGGGGAATGCGCGCTGAAAGCCTGTCAATATCTGGTGTCGCCAGAGAGTATTCACGCTCGGTGGACTGTTCAAACTGATACAACCATTTTGGAATTCACATATCCTATTCAGCAATTCCACCTCAGCTATATACCCTAGAAGAACTTCTAAACATGTGTTCCAGGATGTTCCTGCAGCTTTGTATGTAATAGCACAAAGAAAAAAGAAAAGACGAGAAACACTGCAAATCGCCACCTTAGGGGAGTGGGTAAATAAATGATGGTGTATAGTTGTATGATGGCATAGTCTCCTGCAGTTAAAAGTGAATGAATTGCATCTATACATTTGAACATGGAAAGATCACAAAAACATAATGTTGAATGAAAAAAGCAAGTTAAAGAATAATATAGTATGACTCTAATTACATAAATTTTAAAAGATGTAGGAAGTAAAGCATATATTGTTTATGGATGCACGTATTTGCAGTAAAAATATAAAAACATGCACTGGATATACACCCAGAATAGTCCCCCTGGGGATGGAGACGAGGAAACAAGCAAGGGGGAGAGGGGGAACTGAAGACTTCCACTTTATCTAAAATGCTTTATTTCTAAAAAAGAAATCAGAAGCAAATATGACAAAAAGCAAATGAGTGTTAATTCTGGGTAGCAAGTGCATAGACTTTTTACATTATCCTTTATATTTTTATGGGGTTTTTTTTTCTATTAAATTTTAAAATAAGAAGAAAATAACAAAAAGGTTGGCACAGTAGGGATTCTTATTATTATAAACGTTTAATGGTAATTGGTATCAAGCACTCCTGCCTTTGGCTGTCAGGCCCAGGGGGTGTTCCCAGGGACCCGGGGTGTCCCCGGAGCCCCAGTGTATATAAGCAGCAGACGGTTATCCAGGTCCCCTCCCCAGTCCCTGAAGATTGATAACTCTGGTCAGTCCCCAGTCCAACTACCTACGCCCTGATTTGTGCTTTACAACGTTTCCTTCCCCAGAAATAGGAAAGGTACAAAAGAGACTCTGGACATTTGTTCTCTCCAGAATCGCAAAATCACTTTTGACCGAGAGAAGGGCCTGGTGGAAGTGATTATCCAGAACCTGACTGAGGATGACAAAGGGTCCTACACTGCTCAGCTCCAAGATGGAAAAGCCAAAAACCAGATCACCCTGGCACTGGTGGATGATGGTCAGCATGCCCCACCCGCCCGCCTTGCACCTCACCTTCCCATGAGGCCTCTCGGCTCCCGGCTCTGGGGGCTGCTGATCGTGTCCCTGGTCTTCTTTCCATCCTGATGTCCCCTCCCTGGACCTGTGATCTTCTGACTCATGCCAGTTCTTCTCTATGTATTCACAGATTTTGACAAACTTCTGAGGAAGGCAGAAGCTAAGAGAAGACAATGGAAGAGAAAACAAGGTAAGAGCTGCGGGGTGAAATTCAGAACCCTGGGGCACCCGGCCAGTGGTCAGTGGAGGGAGATTGGTTAATGGGCGCCCCCGCTGGGGAGTCCCCTGCAATTCGCCCAGTCTGTCCAAGTGCCGAACTGAACAGCACTTGCCGGACACTGACAGTAATTACCTCCTTAAATTTTGCGCCTTAGGCACCTCCTTTGCCTCACCCTAGTCCCCGCCCTCCCCGGTGGGGGCAGTTTCTGAGGTGCCCCGGGCGTTAGCCACTCTGCTTTCCACTCCGCTGGCTTCCCTTGTCCCGCCACCAGGTGGCGCCCTGCCTGAGCCTGGCACTCTGACCAAGTGGGCGTGTCTGTTTTGCGCTCACAGGTCCCTATTTTGAGGAGCCTTTGCAGTGGAAGGTCACGGAGGACTGCCAAGTGCTGCTGACGTGCAAGGCAAATCTCAGCCCCTGCCCCCAGGCCTAGTGGGGCAGACCTGTGGCTGGTCCCCAAGCCCCATAGCTATCCCTGCCCCACTCCCTAAATTCCACACCTTGTAATCCCATACTTGGGAAGCATCCTGAGAGACTGCGTTTGACCCAGAAAAGGAAGCCACCCTTGGTGGGGCCCAGGGAGCAGAATTAGTGTGAGTTGGGTCAGCCTTGAGTTAGATCTCCCAGCTGTTCCAGATAGGGCTTGTGTGTGTGTTTGGCGGGGGAGGGTGTCTGTGAGTGAGTGGGTCTATTATTATTAACCTTGCCAGATACTGTGCTCAGTCCCTCTACAGTATTATTTTATTTTACCTTCCTCACAATCATCTGTGAGATAGGCATTCCTATCATGACTTTACAGATGAGAAACTGAATAGGGAAATAGCTCAAGGCCATATAGTAAGAGGGAGAGCCCAAGTTTTAGCCAAATCTGTCTGCTCCAAAGCCCCAGGTTAAGAGTTGACTCAGCAGCCTGAAGCCTCTTTAGATAACCAGAAGGGGAGGGGCCACATTCATTCAGCAAACTCAAATCACCTACTGTGCACCAGACACTGCCAGACCATGGGCAGGCTAGGATGGAGAGGTGTCTCCTTAGACCTCTAGGAGCCCACAGTCCAAGGCGAGATCATTGGAAAACAGTGAGCCTTATGCCGTGATAGAGACATGTGCGGGCACTTAATCCAACCCAGCTGCAAGCAGCCACTCTGAAGGTGCTTCAGGAAAGGCTTCCAGGAGGAAATGACACCTAACCTGAGTCTTCAAAAAGAGTAGGCATTTGTGAGGCAAAATAGGGAGCGAAGGGCTCAAGAAGCAGAGGGAGCATCATTAGCAAAATTCCTGAGTCCAGAAGTCAGCGAGGAGGCATATGCTGTGAGGAAGGAGTCAGCCAAGACTTAACCTGACTGTATGTGGAGCACAGGGAGTGGCAAGGGGCCGTCATGTTTGTAAAAAAAGTTCTGATGAGCTGAGTTTCTGCTTACAAAGAGAGAAAGCCTGATTGAGTCTCCTCATTCCCCGTCCTCTTCAGGTGACCAACACCAAGAAGGAGACCTGCTTTCAGTGGTTTTTCCAGAGGACAGAGATGCCAGATGGTCAGTATGACCCACAGACTGGCGTAGGGCTTCTCTGCATTGAAGAGGTAAGTACAGCACCAGGGCTCACACTTTCTGCCAGCTGTGAGCTGGGCAGTGCGAGGAGCAGTGGGCTGGGAGTCAGAAGCAGAGCCAGGACTAAGGTAAGGCAAGCAAGGCACTCACCCCAGATGCAAAGTTTAAGGAGGTACCAAAAAACTCATAATCAAGTTAAGTAATACTTTAGTGTAATATTTGAAAAATTCAAAATTAATGCCAAAAAAAGCCACAAGGAACAAAATACCAAAATATTAAATAAAGACAGAATTAGTATTACTAATTTTTCCTTTTGTCTCAGGCTCCAATATGGCCCCACACAGAGCCATAGTCCTGGCCCCAACACTGACTCTGTGGTCTCGGGCTAGTCACTGTCCCTTGCTGACCTCAGTTTTCATCTGTAACATGAGCAGTTCAGAAGAATGCTCTCTCTGAGATTCCTCACTGCCCAGCAGTCTAATGCAGGACAGGAAGGATACCACAGTGTCCCGAGGGTCTAGGCAGGACAAAGTAGGGCCTGGAGTCCAATTCTCCCCCCAAGTCCTCCCCCATGGCCTTCAGTAGAGTGTGGCTTGGTTAAGAGGGAAATGCAAAGCTTGTTCTTAAAAATTCAGTATTTTTCTGCCCTGCTGCTGATTTCTGAATACCAGGGAGGACTGGAGCAAATGGGGGTCTGCTGACTAGGAAGGAAATACTGATTTCAGGGTCTTCTCCCAAATCCTGGCCAGGATGATGCCAAGTCAGGGTTTTACTCACTGAAGAAGCTTGACATCTAATAGATGCTTAACACATATTGCTAGATGGATGAGTCTTGTTATAATCATCCATCCCGTTGATGCAGCACTTTCTGGTTTCCAAAGAGTTACCTCTATTGATCCTCACAGCACATTGGTAGGGCAAGGATTATGCTACCATTTTACAGATGAGTAAACTGAGGCTCAAAGGGTTTAAGTGCAAAGACACAAAGCTATAGAGCTGAGTCAAAAATCACCCAATCATCTACCCCTGGATTTGGCTGGGACTTTGGAGTTCTCACTGAGCAGGGGAGACTAGGAGAGGACTGTTGGGGCTCAGTCCCTTGACCCCCAGGTTAAGAGCTGCCTCTGCCTTGGATCCTGGTTGGGGTAGGAGGGGTCCTTTGAGGGTAGTGGGAGGCAAATATTACTCCTGGGCCAAGAAGGAGGCTCCATGTAAGAAGAGGTCAAAAGTGACCTCCAGACTTTGTTTTGAAAGCACAACCCAAGTCTTTGCTTTGCTGAGTGTCAGTTCAGGTTTCACTTGGGGACAACAAGCTATGTGCCAGAAAGGACCCCTTTGTCCTGGATGAGAGAAAACACACATCCTTCTGGGAAAGTGCAGAGGAGGCCCTCCCTTCAGGGCCCAGGGTGCAGAGCAGCTCAGGTGGAGTGTGTGCCCTGCTCAGAGGACCTGTCAAGGAAGGCTTGCTGTGCTGGGCTCGGGGCAGCTGGCTGGAATCCAAATGAGAGGGGTCTCTTTTTGCCCTCAACTCCCCCAACCCACCCCCAGGCCTAGACAAGCCCTGACCTTGAATCAAAGGGCCCTGGAACCAGAAGGAGCTTCAGAGATTATCCAGCCCAACCTCCTCTTATCACAGTGGGGAAACTGAGGCCTAGAGGGCCACACCTGAGAGTTAGGCTCAGACCTGGGGATTTTCTGTCTGTCGCTCCTCGCAGAACCTGTGCTGACCCTGCCGTCTCTCATCCTTCTTTCCAGTTGTCCAAAAAGGACAAAGGAATTTACAGAGCAGTGGTTTCTGACAATAGAGGGGAAGATGACACCATACTGGACCTCACAGGTGAAGGTAGGAGCTGGTGATGTTAGAGATGGGCCAGGAGGGCCATGGGTGGTACACACGGGAACAAGAGACTGTGATATGTCCTGTAGGGTAAAATGTACAGTGTCCTCATGCCACTTGGGGAAACTAGACATTGAGAGGGTAAATGACTTGTTCCAAGTTTGCACAGCTTGCCAGTGGCAGGGGCCTGGTCTGTGTGACTCTGAGACCCAGGTTCACTGCATATACCACAATGAGCCAGCAATGGGGACCCAAGGCCTGAGTTCACTCCTCTGCCCTGCAATGGGCCCTGGCTCCTCATCAGGCTGGTCAGCTCAGACTGCAAGAAAATGTTCAGGTTGACCTATCTGTCCTCCATCCGTGGTGCCCCTGTGCGGCACCAGTCACTGAGTGCCCCAGACCCCCTCCCACCGCCAAACCATGAGAGTCAACCTGCAGAGATCCCTGTGCCCAAGAGTGGCACATGAGCTCCACCAACATTCACAAAGGACAGCCCACTCCTGGCATGCAGCCCTACACCAGCTGACCATTCTCTGTCTCCTTCCAGCCCTGGATGCCCTCTTCACTGAGCTGGGCAGGATTGGTGGTAAGCAAGCCTGCCTCTTTGCCCAGCCCTGCCCTGATGCCAAACAGCTTCCAGGGGGACCACAAACCAACCTCAGCTACCAGGGGATGGGTTTAGTCTCCAATCTCAAAAACTGGGAGAATCTCCTGCCTCCTCACAATACCGCATTCCCCTCACCCTAACCCTCAGAGCAGGGGTGAGAAGGTTGGCCCATAAACATGCTGCCAAGAGGGCCTGGGAAAAGACTTACCCTTCTCCTCTGCCTTCCCAGCCCTCTCTGCATCCCCGCTGAAGCTCCAGGGGACCAAGGAGGGCATCCGGATCTTCAGCAAGGTCAAGTACTACAACGTGGAGTACATGAAAACCACCTGGTTCCACAAGTAGGTCTGCTTTGCCCCGGAGCCCTAGCCAGCTAGATGGGGCTCAGCACCTGCCCAGAGGGGTTCTTCCCTCCTCCCAGCCAGGCCTTCCAACGGAGCACTGTCCCAAGAGGTTGGCAGAGATGAGAGTTTCCCACTGGCCCTGCTGTCTACAGAAGGAATCAGGGATAGGGAACAGCAGTCAGAGGAGTAGAAGGGCCTGGCCTGAGATCCCATAAGGAAGGTAGGAACCTGATGTTAGGACCATTTTTCCAGAGTATCCATGGCCACAGCAGGATCATTATCTCAGAGCAGCATCTGAGAATTGGGGGAGAGACGAAGGAGCGAGGAAGAACCACATGATTAGGTGGGTCATGGTGCCTCTGTGGGTCTCTGCAGCTTTAGGAAACTCAGGTAGCCAGACACCCATGCTCAGGGGAAAGGTGCAGGCAGAAGGGACCTGTGGGGCTGAGAACTAACTGAAGGTCAGGGCTTGAAGCCAGGATAGATGACATATTCACAGAGATTCAGGAACAGAAATTCAGCCAGCAGCTAAGTGACCTCAGATAGTTTGGGAGCTGAAGATTTCCCAGAACTTCCTATCATGTGCACGCCTCAGCCTCATGGAGCAGATATTATCGTCCCCATTCTATGAAGAAGTCTAGACTGACTTGACAGTCTAGATTTGACAAATGAGTGAGAGCCAAGACCAGATTAGGAAACAGGCCTTCCTAGCCAGAATCTCTGAGTCCTGTGACTTAGCCCAGAGGTGACATTTCTGCAGCACAACACAGAACATGGGCCAAGTGTCTTGAGGAATGAAATTTAAGTAAGGAAGGGAAGGAGTTTAACCTTGTGTGGTTCCTAAGGGCTGGGGGAGAATGACTATGGGAAGAAGCCCTAGGAGGGCTTAAGATGAGGAGAATGAAGAGGTGAGGCGTGCCTCCCATGGGTGGGGAAGGCGGTAGTCACTGACCCTGGAGCACCATTTCCTCAGAGGCACAGCGTGCAGGATACCTCACGGTGGCAAACTCAGTGCTAGTACATAGTCGATGCGCCACAAGGTTTGATGAATGAATGGTTGAATGATGAGTGAATGAGTGAATCAAGTGTCTTGTGGATGGTCACCACCTTTAGCTCAGGTATCTGGAAACAAAACCCCAGAAGAGGAGTTTGGGGCAGAGTGTGTCTGTATCGTTGCAGACAGACAACCTGTCCCCAAAGTGCTTTGGGGCTGAGCCATGTTAACCATTGCTTTGCCCTCCCATTCAGAGAAAAACGCCTAGAGAGCGGTGACCGGCTGAGGGCTGGCACCACCCTTGATGAGATCTGGCTCCACATCCTGGACCCCAAAGACTCAGACAAAGGCAAATACACCCTGGAAATATCTTCCGGGAAGGAAGCCTGGAAGCTCTCGGTTGATCTCTCAGGGCAAGGTGAGCCATCCACCTGTCTGTCCACGGGGGACAGAGAGGCATGGTTACAAGATTCCATGTCGTTTTGGGGGACCCCCATCTACCTATCTGATTCTGGAACTGCCCTAAAAGAATATGAAAGGGGAGGAAAGAGTAGAGGAACAGTCCCACGCTAAGCCCTGTACCTAGGGGTCACATGGGCAGAGCCACTGATTCACCCCCTCCCTCTTTTTCCTTCTTTCAGCTTTTGATGATGCCCTGGCTGAACACCAGCAGCTGAAGTAAGTTCCCCTCTGGTTCTCAGCGTGAATCATGGGCCCTCAGGGTGTGGGTGAGCTGTGCACAGTACCCCTTCCTGGGAGCCGCAGCCACCTCCACCTTTCCCTCTTCACCCCTCACCCCCCAACTGGACAGGACTGTCCTTTAACAAATGAAAACTTTTCCACTTTTCTGTTTTTCAGAGCTGCAGCCATCATTGAGAAGAGTAAGTGCACCGATATTTTCGTTTTCTTGTTTCTGGGTTTGAATCGGGCTTGGGCAGCTGAAGTTCCAAGTTTCCAGTGGGATCTGTCTATGACTCTGGGTTCAGATACAGCTGCTCCAAGAGACGTAGGTGGGGGCAGAGTGAAGGCAGAAGATAAGAAGGACAAGGATTGGCTGAGATCATGGGCATGGAAGTGCCCAGGAGGGCCACCAACAATGGTGTTCCAAGCAGGAACACCAGCAACGTTGGTGAGACTCCAAAGGCAAAGGATGGAGATGAAGGGTCTGGGCAGGCCTTCCAGAGTGAGGCATGAGGAATGGGAGCCTTTAAAGCCAAAATTGGCTGTCAGACATTGGAGCCTCATCTAATCCAAGATGCAGTCCCAAGATGCAGCCCCAAACCCAGAGGGATGTGCCATGGCCTCTGAGTGCCACCAGGTCCACACATTCAAGAGCTCCCCATTCATCAGTCTAAATGCCTCATTTTTTAAGGAGTCTGGCCTTCCGATTTCACTGGCCCAGCAGATCGGGAGTAGGAGTTTCGATGACGGAAAGACTTCTGGGCGTAGAGCAAAGGCAGCCTGACAGCAAGGAAGGGAGTAAAAGACTATAAGAAAAAGACAAGAGAATGGAAAACACTGCTCACTGGGGTCATTACTTGCAGCCACCGCCCATCTGTCAGTGGAGGCTTGCATGTTGTTATGATGCTGAACTGGTTTCAGCACAGCTCCTAAACTAAGACAGACTACAAAGAATGACCTGGTGATCTAGTTCCCAAAATCAGCCAATGAAAACCACAATGGCCCAAACCACAACCAGTCATGGGGATGGCACAGGACTGGGCATCATTTCATTCTGTTGTGCATGAGATCACCAATAATTGGGGGCTGACTCAACAGCAGCTAACAATAACAACAGATTTGAAATGGCCACATAAACCAGAGACTTCATCAGCCTGAGACCAGAAGAACTAGATGGTGCCCAGCTACCACCAATGACCGCCCTGACAGGGAACACAACAGAGAGTCCCTGATGGAGCAGGAGAAAGGTGGCATGCAGAACTCAAATTCTAGTAAGAAGACCAGACTTAATGGTCTGACTGAGACTGGAGGAACCCCAGAAAGCATGGCCCCTGGATTCTCTATCAGCCCAGAACTAAAACAATTTCCGAGGCCAACTCTTCAGACAGAGATTGGACTGGACTGTGGGACATAAAGTGATACTCATGAGGAATGTGCCTCTTAGCTCAAGTAGATACAAGAGACTAAATGGGCAGCTTCTGTCCGGAGTTGAGATGGGAAGGCAGAGAGGGTTAGAAGCTAGTTGAATGGACATGGGGAATCAGGTGGAAAGGAAGAGTGTGCTGTCACAGTATGAGAGCAATTAGAGTCACATAACAATATATGTATAAATTCTTGTATGGGAAAAAATTAAAATTAAAAAAAAAAAAAAAACACATTTGCCCTGTGTGGCGTCCTAGTCCCTGAGTGCCCCCGCTTGACAGGGAGTACAGGCCTTGGCATTCTTAGTTGGAATCTGAAAGGGGCATTCAAGAGGTCTAAAAGGCCATACACTCAGAAGGCCTTGCAGGAGGTATCCATCATGGTAGAAAGAGCACATCCTGGAAACCAGCCTCAGCCTGCCCAGTGGCTCAGAGTAGCACCAACTCAAGGAGGCTTTTGAACCAGTCACACTGCCAGTCTAATCATTTACTGGGTAAAGCTATCCCCTCTGGAATTCTGTGCCCCTGGACAGGATGCCCCACCCAGGACCCTAACAAAGGGAAGCTGAATTCACCAACACGTGATTACTGAAGCTTGTAGATTCTGAGTCAAGGAACGTGGATCATCTCACCCCAGCTGGGGCAGGCTGGTGTAAAATATCTGCCCTACAAACGGTGTCTATCTCTGAGGCCTTCCCCACCCAGTTCGGGGTCCTGCTGCCCTTACGTCTACTGGACAATCAGCTTTGAGCTCTTTACACTTCCCTCATCCGTGGTCTAGGGCCCGTGCTGACCACTCTCTTCTGTTTTCACAGCCTCAGTTGCAGTATAAGGAATATATTGGTTTTCCACTTGGTAATTTACAACACATTCTCTTCCTGCCCACCTACAGTGGTCACTAGGGCCCTCCCTTGGCTAGAGTCAAGTGTCCCAAAATGTTCTAGCTCACTTTTCCTGACCCCCTCTTGGTACACGCCCTTAGCTTGTTCATCACACCCGTTGTGAGTGAATTTTGCTAGTTTAAGCCTCACAGCAATCTAATTGACCTTTTCCCTTCTTACGGGAGGGGCATCTTGCTGTCACCTCCAGGAACCACCAATCATAATGATAACCTCACATCAGTGACAGAACCATAGTATATTCCATACCTTCTATTTTGAAGGCAAAGAAACATCTTTAAATTTTAGAAATTTCCACCCAAAATGATTAAAATAGAAAAAAGAAACATTGCTTAAAAATAAATCTCAGCTATGTGGAAACCTGCTTCTGGAAAGCAGTCAGCAGGAAAGGATTCATCCCTGGGGTCTCTTTCTTTCTTCTAGATCGTGCCAAAGTCGTGAGGGGCCTGCCAGACGTGGCCACGATTATGGAAGACAAGGTACAGACCCTTCTGTCCCATACTGTGTTTCCTCATGTATTGATCACAGATCATGAAACAATGTAGCATTATGGATTCAAGAGCCAAAAAGTGGCAGGTGGGCCAAAGGGGCCAGATCTGCCAAGTCTAGCCAAGTGACCACAGCTCATTGATTGCATGTAGTATCAGGGAAAGACACTGAGCCTGGAGCTAGACCCAAGTGGGTGCTTGTCTCAGCTCTGCCCCATCTCTCTAGGTAGCCCTGGGTGTCACTTCTGTCTCTGAACTTCAGTTTCCACAGGATTTGTACTGGATTATCCCTGAAGGCGCTTCCAGGGCTGAAATTCTGCAAGTCTAGTGTTCTAGAAAATGAAAGCTAACATTTTTATGGTGTTCACTTTGTACAAGGCACTCTTCCATACATGTTACATATTTTAGCTTATTTAATCATCAAGGCTCAAACTAAAAATATCCCCTGAAATCTTCTTAAAGCCAAACAATAATTTAGCTTAACTAGTAAACAATGTCTGCCTTGAGCATTATACTCTTTTAAGGACTATCTATATAGGATCAAATTGACAACAGCAACTGAAAAGATTAGATAGGAACCTTAGGTGCAGTGAATTTATGTTAATGGGGGAGGAACAACTCAGAAAAAGAGGGTGAGAATGGTTACACAACTCAAAGGATGTAGCCAATGTCACTTAATGGTACATGTAGAAACTTGTATTGGTGTATGTTTTGCTGTGTATAATGTCAACAACAACAAAATTAATAAAGTTATTTTTAAAAAATCATTAAGGCAACCACAGGAAACAGGGTATTATTACTAGTCCCATTTTATAGCTGAGGAAACTGAGGTCCAGAGAGGTTAACAGACTTGCCTAAGGTCACACAACTTAAAGAGATAGAGCTGGGATTCACACCCAGAACCTGTGTGTTTAACCACTATACTATGCATTAGAGCTTGTCCAAGAATTTTCAAACTCAATTCATAGACTCTTATTATTAAAGCAATATAACTTTATTTGCATGGTAAAATTATAATGATGTACATACAACAAAAAGCAATAAATTCTGTGGCAACTAATTGCTAGAGCAATAATTGTCTGAAATTCTAATTAGTAAGTATTTTGGTGGAAAGGTTGAGGATGGAAGCTGTGGGGTTAAAATGAAGTGTCTCTCCATTTAATGTTATCACTTTATTAGTTACAGTAAGGCACATGCAATGGGTTTATCACAAGGAGTAGCCTGTCCTGGGAGCTTTCTTGGGGAATAAAGGTGAATGCCAGGGATTATTACCCCAGGTGAAATTGAATGTTTCTCTTCTTGTCCTTTGAAACAGACTCTGTGCCTGACCTGCGTCATCTCAGGCGACCCCATCCCTGAAGTCTCTTGGCTGAAGAATGACCAGCCTGTCACCTTCCTTGACCGCTACCACATGGAGATGAGGGGGACAGAGGTCACAATCACCATCAACAGGGTCCAAAGTGAGGACAGCGGGCGCTATGGCGTCTTTGTCAAGAACAAGTATGGCTCCGAGACAGGCCAGGTCACCATCAGCGTGTTCAAACATGGGGAGGAGCCCAAGGAGCTGAAGAAGATGTGACGGGGCATGTGCAGGCACAGCCTGAGGTCCAGTCTGCATGGACCAGTAGGGTCAACCAGTGGGACATATCCTGACTCAGGCCATAGGAGTAGAGAAGAGGAGAGAGCAAGGATGAGGATGGAACCCAGAATGTGAGGGTGGAGGTGGGATGGATGCACCAAAGTGGGGAAGCAAAGACTTTGAAGGGGTCCTGAGAAGCATCTGGGATAGCAAGACAAGCACTGGACTTGGAGTAGTAGACCTAGGTTCAAGATTTCACCTCTAAACTTGCCATAACTCTTGGTTTTCTCATCTATCAAATGGGAATTCTTACTCCTAGAGATTGTTTGTGAAAGCCCCTTATAAACCATATACAAGTGGTTCTCAATGGGAGGCAATTTCACCAGACATTTGGCAATATCCAAATTTTTGTTTGCCACAACTGAGTGGGTTCTACTGGCATCCAGTAGATGGAGGCCAAGGATGCTGCTAAACATCCTACAATGCTCAGGATAGCCCCCTACAACAAAGAATTATTTGATCTCAAATGTCAATAGTACTGACGTTGGAAGAGCCCACCATATACTGGTATATCACAGTACCCCTCTTTTAGGATACATTTTCAATTCACTTAAGCTCAACAAACATTAATTTGCAGTCTAGCATGTGCAGACTAAAGATGGCACTGGGAATGCAAATAAATAATATACAGGCCCGCCCTCAAGGAGCTCCCATCCAGTAGCAGAGACAGACCCAGGTACAAATGACCCCAGGCCAAGACAGAATATGATAAAGATTATAAAGCAGATGCAAATACAGTGCTTCCAGAGGTCAGAGGAGGGAGATGTTCATCCCAACTGGGAGACATAGGGCTTCCAAATACCTGCACAGAAGGGGCAGAATTGGTGCTGGATCCAGAAAAGTGAGTCACATTTGGCAGTGGAAATGGGAGGACACTTCAGTGCTCCTCATATCTCAGTGCTCATGGTGTGAGCAAAGACAAGGAGGTGGAATGAGGTTGCCTCGGTGACATGGCAGGAGGTTCTGATAACCTTTAGGACTTCTTCTAGGGTATGATTGATGCTGGTTGGCCTTTCTTGGTGGATCTCAATGCAGAGCTGGACATTTCACTGTCCTCCAGTTTCCTTCTATTTTTGAGTATTTTGGGGGGATTATGAAAATTATAGATGTTTTAAAATTTTGGAAAATATAAAGGAGAAAATAAAAATTGCCTATACTACTAACAGCAGGAGGTAACACCTGCCTCTGGTTTCTGAAATGACTTCTGAACTAAAGGATAAAATGAAACACACCTACATTCACCACCAAAGCTCCCGTCAAGGCATGGTGGGTATTATGTCCCCCAGTGGCTCACGTTCTAGGCTTCATGATTCAGGTGGACCTGGTGTTCAGTGCAGCCTTTACTGAGTGGGTGCCTGAGTGGACACTGAGTGGGAACAAGCTGGGGAACCTGGGAGATTTGGAGGCAAACCCGTCTGGGCTTGAAGCACTCCTCTGCCACATAGTCACTATGGGATCCTGGGCACTTCTTTTTCTTTTTCTGACCTTGGTTTCCCATCTGTAAAGCGAGGGATTGAAAGATAATTTTTGAGGGCCCTTCTAGCTGATGCTAAAATTGTTATTACTTCCCCAAACTTGGTTCTCTTTTGCTTTTCTCTTCCTACGAAAATGGGCGGGGGGGGGGAGGATGGGCAAGAGGCCTATCTTAGCCCATCCATCCACTCTCATACTTGTAATCTCAGAGACTTGGTTTCCTCAATGTGCCAGTGGAAAATGTCATAAATTTCATTGAAATCAGGAAGCCCAGCACCCAGGCACTTTGTCCTTAAAACAACAGCTTACATCTTCACACGAAGTACCTTCCCTTCGTCTACTTCACATGATCCCCACCACAACACAGGGAGGTAGGCAGGAAAGATGATAATAACAGTAAAGCATGTAGCTCAACGCTTGAAAGGTTAGGAAGCAGTCTCATATCTCAGTGCTCATCAAATCAAATGAGACAGCATATAATTGGCCCCATTTTTACAGATATGGCAGCTGAGAACCTCAGAGCTAAATGGCAGTCAGGAAGAGAACCAGTGTCTGTGTCCTGGTTCAGAGGACATCTGCTCTGCCATGCTGCCTGTCTTAGCCATCTAGTGCTGCTATAACAGAAATACCACAAGTGTATGGCTTTAACAAAGAGAAATTTATTTTCTCACAGTCTAGTAGGGTGTCAGTTCAAGGGGAAGGCTTTCTTTCTCTGTCGGCTCTAGAGGAAAGTCCTTCTCATCAATCTTCCCCTGGACTAGGAGCTTCTCAACGCAGGAACCCTGGGCCCAAAGGACGCTCTCTGCTCCTGGCACTACTTTCTTTTCCATCTCTCTGCTTGTTTCTTTTATATCTCTAAAGAGATTGGCTCAAGGTACAATCCATTCTTGAAGATTGTGTCCTGCCTCATTAACATAACTGCCACCTATCCCACCTCATTAACATCATAGAGGTAGGATTTACAACATACAGGAAAATCACATCAGATGACAAAATGGTGGACAATCACACAATACTGGGAATCACGGCCTAGCCAAATTGATACACATATTTTTGGGGGGACACAATTCAATCCATAATACTGCCCCTGAGCAATGCAGAGGGGGTAAATGCAGCCCAGAGTCCAGAGGCGAACAACACCTGTTGTTAGGTGCCGTCAAGTCAGTTCCGACTCATAGCAACCCTATGTACAACAGAATGAAACACTGCCCAGTCCTGCACCATCCTCAAAATCATTGTTATGCTTGAGCCCATTGTTGCAGCCACTGTGTCAATCCATCTCGTTGAGGGCCTTCATGTTTTTGCTGACCCTCTACTTTATCAAGCATGATGTCCTTCTCCAGGGACTGGTCCCTCCTGATAATATGTCCAAAGTAAGTTAGATGAAGTCTTGCTTGCTTCTAAGGAACATTCTGGTTGTACTCCTTCCAAGACAGATTTGTTCATTCTTCTAGAAGTTCATAGTATATTCAACATTCTTTGCCAACACCACAGCACCTCGTTGTTGTTATGTGCCATCGAGTCAGTTCCGAGTCAAAGCGACCCCATGTACAGCAGAACGAAGCACTGCCTGGTCCTGCGCCATCCCCACAATCACTGTTATGCTTGAGCCCATTGTTGCAGCAACAGTGTCAATCCATCTTGTTGAGTGTCTTCCTCTCTTTCGCTGAACCTCTACTTTACCAAACATGACGCCTTCCTCCAGGGACTGGTCCATCCGGATAACATGTCCAAAGTATGTGAGACAAAGTCCTGCCATCCTTGCCTCTAAGGAGTATTCTGGCTGTACTTTTTCCAAGACAGATTTTTTCGTTCTTTTGGCAGTCCATGGTATATTCAATATTCTTCGCCTACACCATAATTCAAAGGCGTCAATTCTTCTTCAATCTTCCTTATTCATTGTCCAGCTTTCACATGCATGTAGGGCACTTGAAAACACCATGGCTTGGGTCAGGCGCACCTTAGTCCTTAAAGTGACATCTTTGCTGTTTTAAAGAGGTCTTTTGCAGCAGATTTGCCCAGTGCAATGTGTCGTTTGATTTCTTGACTGCTGCTTCCATGGGCATTGATGTTCTAACAAACACTTTACAGTGGCCAAAGTAACAAACGAGCACATCAGTGAGTGGATGAGTGAATGGAAGTAGCTTCTTGGTCCCATTCTCCAGGAGGGTAAAATTTTCTCCATTTTTTTTTTCCTCTTCTGATACCATTTTGTCATGAGTACTTCTGGCCTGTTGGGCCTGATGGAACATGATGTGAGTGCCCCCTGTTGGTGCCGGGTGGGTTTGCACTCTGAGAAGAAGCTCAGAAGCAATGCTTCATGGACTGGGGATGCTGTGAGCTACATGACTTGGTGACAAGCCAGTTTGAGAGCAGGAGCTAGTCCCTACTCTGCTGCACATGGGAATTTCTCTTTGTTTAGTCTCCTTGGAGAGAATTGCCCCATCCTTGAGCAGCCTTTCTGAAGATGAGGATTCCCACCATTTTCTTCTCCCTGCTCCCAGAGCACAGGCTCAGCCAGTTTTTCCATTAGGGTCCTACCTAGGACTGTGGACAAGGCAGGTCTTAGAGGTGGGATAGTGGGAATGAAGGTCACTGAAAACTTTCGCTGTTGTCTCTCTCAGCTCTTCCCATTTAATCCCAATAAAACCTCAAGTACTATTGGGGTGAGGGGTGGGGGTGTACTAGGAGGAGGACTTTGCTAAAGGATATGAACAGGGACGGATTACCCAAGAAGTAAAGTAAGCATGTGCTTAGGGTATCAACAAAACAAAGGTACCACAAGTCCAAAGCAAAGATCCATTGATGCCAAGTAGACAGGACACAAGGAAAAGTGAGCACCACAGAGGAAGGGAACTGGCTGGGCACTAAATGAAATTGATAGTAGCTCCAGTGCATAAGAATGTGCCAGCCAGACATATATTCCACGCGGGTCACGAAGGCGCCCTTGTGCAAGCTTGTTTAAGCTATGAGGCCCCTACCACTTCAACACCATCATTGACATCTGTCTCCTACGATCGCCTCCTGTGTAAATGAAACTCCTTATCTCAGCAGGTGTCTCGGGAGTATACTACTTCTTTATAATAAACAAGACTCAGGGGTGTGCTGTCAAGTCTAACTCTTGCTACATCCACCCAATATGCAACTGGATCCAACGTGAGCGATTACTGGGCAAGGGCAGTTTATAGTAACAGATATCAGGTCTCTGATCCATTTTGAGAAAACCTTCTTGTACATCCATGTCTGCTGATCCAGCAACTCCAGGCAGGAGGACCAGCAATGCTCTTTGCCATGATACAAACACAAGGGCATACTCTTCCACGCATCCTGGTAAACAACCAATGGAAACTCCAGTCCCAGATGATTCACAAAAGTGATGGAACTGGAATAAGTCAACCATTGCAATGAATTCAATCAAGTAACTTTTTAACTGTATAGTACTTACATAGTTATGTCCTAAGTTTTGT